ATATGTATATATGGATGTATATATGTATTTATATATGTATATGTATATATGTATATATGTATATATGTATATATGTATATATGTATATATGTATATGTATATATGTATATATGTATATATATGTATATATGTATATATGTATATATGTATATATGTATATGTATATATGTATATATGTATATACGTATATATGTATATATGTATATATGTATATATGTATATATATATGTATATATGTATATATGTATATACGTATATATGTATATATGTATATATGTATATATGTATATATGTATATATGTATATATGTATATGTATATATGTATATATGTATATATGTATATATGTATATATGTATATATGTATATATATGTATATATGTATATATGTATATATGTATATATGTATATATGTATATATGTATATGTGTATATATGTATATGTAAATATGTATCTGTATATGTATATGTATATGTATATATGGATGTATATATATATATATATGTATATGTATATATGTATATATGTATATATGTATATATGTATATATGTATATATGTATATATGTATATATGTATATATGTATATATGTATATATGTATATATGTATATATGTGTATATGTATATGTTTATGTATATGTATATGTTTATGTTTATGTATATGTTTATGTATGTGTATGTGTATGTGCGCATACATTATTGACATTCAATCCAACACTGTTGGGACTGGTCAGTCAAAAGTACTCAGTCACAGAAAATATCTCTTTGGTGGATGAAGCCCTCCCCTGGTGTTCATGCCATGTCCGTGACATGGCTGCTGTGACCGACGACACATCTGATTTTCCGAAAAGGTCAACCATGTCCAGAGCACTTCGCCCGACATATGCCAAATCATATGGTCCAAACTATGAATAAAGCGCGCCGAAGGTCACGCTTAAAGTCCGCCAGTTCAAATGTCCGGTTCGGGGCTTCGACGGAGAAATTGACGGCAAAAAGTTCAACGCGCTACCGGCATGGGTTAAGCCATTGGATGGCCAATATCTTCAGGTTCCGTGGCATCCGCACCTGAAAATTCACATAGCTCCGAAAAAGACTGTGGCTCTTGAATTCTGGCAATTTTTGAGAGCGTAACGCTGTGGGCCCCTGATTTTTACGGCGTTTTATGAAGTTTTTATTGTTACTTTCTCCCATTTTTTGGGTTCCATGTTAGTTCTTCAGGTATCCCCTTGCTGGTCGGTGACTTCAACCCATAGAATTGTTTTGGGATTTGTTCTTTTCGTTTTGGGAAGGTGGTTTGGATTCCTGTTCTGTCCATTTTCTTTGCTATTTGCAGCATTTGTTTGGAGCTGGAAGCTGCTATTTCAACGGTAGTTTTAACATTTTGGAGTTCGGACCTCTCATTGTCCAAGGTATTTGCAACATGTTGGTGCTCGAACCGTTCATGTTGCATGGTTCCGGGCTCGTTTAGTTTGTTTAGGGTTGGTTTAGGATTGGTTTTAGTGTTTTTTAAGGGTTGGTTTAGGGCTTATTTAGGGTTAGTTTTGGGTTTGTTTAGGCTTCGTTTGGCATCTATTTATATCTATGTCGGGTTGGTTTAGGTTTATTTAGACTTGGTTTAAAATCCATCTAGGGTTTGTTTAGCATCTATTTAGAGATGGTTTAAGGTCTATTTAGGGCTGGCTTTGGTTCAGGCTTATTTGGTCGTGGTTTAGGATCTGTTTAAGGGGTGGTTTAGGATCTACTTGGGGCTGGTTTAGTGTTGATTTGGGTCTATAAAGAAAATAATAAAGATGATTGAAAGAAGTGCTTTGTCAATTTTTCCCAAGTCTCACACATATGAAAAGAAAGGGATTGACAAGGGCGCCGTCTACTCATTGAAAGAACTGGCCTTCGATTTTGAGAAAAAACTGCTTCCAAAAAACGACAATTCCGACTTTGTCTTGGCTGCCTGCCTTTGTGGTGCGAGACTGGGTTAATTCCGCTAGGTCCCATCACTTGAGGGACCCAATTTTGTTTGAGAATGAAACCGTAGGTCTCTATTTGGCAATGTTTTTGTGGTCGAATTTTGGTGCTCTTTTTGTGGTAGCAGCCAAGAGTGCTCTTCGATTTGTACCCTGTGTTTTTTGACGGAGGTGTTGGGGAATACCATGTCATTGTGGAGCGCTGTCGAACATTTTGTGCTAATGTGTTGTTGAGTTTTTGTGGCTGCAAAGTTGGGGATGAAGGTACAGGAAACAGAGACCCACATCATTTCCTTGTTTTGTCATTGCTGCATAATCCTGAATGATAACCTCAAATGCCTCAGAGGAGCCTGAAGTTAGAGCAGGCACCACAGCAAATACCACAAGCAATCCCGAATTTGCATCAATCATAAATTATATCAGAAGGAATTGTTTCCCCCACATAATGGAGTTCTGCTTCATAATTTCCCGTTTTTGGCGCAAATCTTCATTTTCTTTCTTTTTTCTTTCTTTCTTTCTTTCTTTCTTTCCTTTCTTTCTTTCTTTCTTATGTATCGATCTGTCTATCTATCTACCTAGCTTTCTAACTATCTATCTATCTATCTATCTATCTATCTATACTAAGTACAAATCTCAAAAACACTTTGGTAAACGATCGGGATTTCATGTTTTGTGACAGCAGCGAAGGCTGATGAGATAGGAAATTACAATGGTTCTTTAAAACCCACAAATCCTATCTCACATTTAGTGGTCCATGTTTTTCCCTTGCTGCACCCATGTGCCATTAGATTCACCGGGTCAAGTCCCCGCAAGTGCTATCTCATCTGCTTTTAGTGGTCAGTGTTTTTCCCTTGCTGCGCCGATGTTTCTTGTAGATTTCTGGGGTCGAACCCCCACAAGTCCTATCTCATCTGCGTCCCTTGCAGCACCCATGTGCCATTAGATTTCCCGGGTCAAATCCACACAAGTCCTATCTCACCTGCTTTTAGTGGTCAGTGTTTTTCCCCTGCTGCACCCTGGCACATGAGAATTACCGGGTCAAGCCCCCACAAGTCCTATCTAACCTGCTTTTGGTAGTCAATGTTTTTCCCTTGCTGCGCCCATGTGCCAAGTAGATTTCCGGGGTCAGATGCCCACAAATCCGATCTCACCTGCTTTTAGTGGTCGGTGTTCCCCCCCCGCACGTGGTCAGTGTTTTTCCCTTGCTGCACCCATGTGCCATTAGATTTCCCGGGTCAAATCCCCACAAGTCTTTTCTCATCTGCTTTTAGTGTTCAATGTTTTTCCCTTGCTGCACCCATGTGCCAATAGATTTTGCGGGTATGTCATCTGCTTCCAGTGGTCAGTGTTTTTCCCTTGCTGCGCCGATGTGCCAGGTAGATTTCCCGGGTCAAATCCCCACAAGTCCTATCTCTCTGCGTTCAATGGTCAATGTTTTTCCCTTGCTGCACCCATGTGCCATTATATTTCCCGGGTCAAATCCACACAGGTCCTATCTCACCTGCTTTTAGTGGTCAGTGTTTTAGGTAGATGTCCGGGGTCTAATCCCCACAAGTCCTATCTCATCTGCTTTTAGTGGTGAATGTTTTCCCTGCTGCACCCATGTGCCATTAGATTTCCCGGGGCAAATCCCCACAAGTCCTATCTCACCTGCTTTTAGTGGTCCGTGTTTTCCCTTTGCTGCGCCCATGAGCCATTAGATTTCCCGGGTCAAATCCCCACAAGTCTTATCTTGCTCAATGTTTCTCCCTTGCTGCGCATGTGCCAGGTACGTTTCCGGGGTCAAATCCCCCCACAGGTCCTGTCCTATCTCATCTGCTTTTAGTGGTCCATGTTTTTCCCCTGCTGCACCCATGTGCAATTAGATTTCCGGGGTCAAGTCCCCGCAAGTGCTATCTCATCTGCTTTTAGTGTTCAGTGTTTTCCCTTGCTGCACCCATGTGCCATTGGATGTCCAGGGTCAAAACCTCGAAAGTCCTAGCTCACACGCGTTCAGTGGAACATCTTTTTACCTTGCTGCACCCATGCGTCATGTAGATTTCCGGCATGAAACCCATGAGATGGGACTCCGTCATGGGATATACATGCTACAGTCCCAACACATGTGCTATGTGAACATACCCCAAATCAGCCCTAACTCCTATCTCATGTGTCCAAAGTGTAGCCTATAGCCTATAGCGTTCAAAACCATAAACCGTGGGAATGTAAAAACTTGATGCAGGTATCCTTCAAATGACAAATAGAACCACATGAGATAAGAGTTTGGCACCTTCAAAGGGCAAAAACAATACTTTACTCATGAGATAGGAAATCAAAAAGAAACTTCGCTCTCCAACAACTCCTATCTCACTTGCACTGAGTATAGCTATCTAGCTATCTATCTACGCGTTTATCTAGCTATCTCTCTATATCTATCGATCCAGCTATCGATAAGACCCCCTCTCTCGGTCTACTCTCCATCCATCTATTATCTGCCTATCTATCAATCTATTTGTTTACTTATTTTGCCCTAGTATTTGTCTACCTATTTAACCCCAATATCAGGGACGAGGGGGAGAATCGACACCCCACCATCACCCATGTGCGAGCTGGTACATTATCCTGCAAAACACTCCCCGGGGACACCCTGAACACCAACTGAGTGTGGAAAAACGGGCCCGTACGGAAACACCTCCCCCAGACCCCTAATCTCTCACTACGTTCGCAAAAAAAAACACAACTTGCCAGCTTGTCCGGCTGGCTTTCGTAAAAGAGGGAAAAGCAGAGAAGTAGAGAAGCAGAAAAGCGGACAAGCAGAGAAGTAAACAAGCAGAGAAGTAAAGAAGCAGGGAAAAGCAGTGTGGCAGGGAAACAGAAACCAAAAAGAAAAAAAAACAAATCAAAAAAAAATCTCCATTGTATTGTATAATCCTGGATTTAGGTGATGTTCCGCATCACATCATAAATGTCCGACCACGGAGGTACCTTCAAAATCCGTTCCTTCAAAACCGTGTAATTTTCTCCACTCAAATTGCCATATGAAAAATCCCCACCTCGCCTCACTTCTTCAGCTGATGCATTGCATTATAGAGCTGCATCTTCCCACTGGATTTGCAGCTGTCCACGACCAGATTCCGTCGCATCCAGCAATGGCCATGGCCCACCATCACTGTGGTGCAATCCAAAGACTGCAAGCACAGCTCCTGCTGTTTCGTGAAGCCTACAATCACGCACCTGCTGGTGGGCAGATTAGATAAACAACACACATGCACATATACATATATGAATATGCATGTGTGCATGTCTATACACACACACCTGTATGATACCTGTATGTATGACTGTATGTATGTATGCATGTATGTATGTATGTATGTATGTACGCACGTACGTACGTACGTACGTACGTACGTATGGATGGATGGACGGATGGATGGATGGATGTACGTACGTACGTACGTACGTGTATGGATGGATGTATGTATGTAGGGTGAAGGCTGGGGGTTCCCCGGAAGCCAATTGCATTTTATTTGTATGGATATGGAAAATGTTGATTTTACAGTGTGTTTTACAGTGTTTTATGCTCTTCTCTCAATTGTTCGATCAGTAAAAGTTGCAATGTCGGCGCGGATAAACTTGACGTTTGCCCACGCAGAAGAATGATAAATTTACATCTTCCATGGATGGCCAAACATGTGTGCAACATCGAAACCATTGGAATTGCGGTTTCATGCATCTTTGGTCGTTTTGTTGACAACTAGAAAGTGTCATAATTCACTGGAGAACCATGGACGAAATGAACATCACACCTTTTTCATTCTCACGTCCACAAAGGCTTTTTGAAGTTGTTTGGAGCGAGAGCACCATTGGTCTTCTCACGGTGCAGTCGCAGTAACAACAGCTTCAACGAAGCTACATCCTCAAGGCTTCAGCAACTCTCAATCCAACGCGCTCCACATGACGTTATTACACCCTCCCCACCCCCCGACCCCCCCTTTTGTAAACAACAACGATACTTGCAACGTAACAACATCTTCAACAAAGCAACATCCTCCAGGTTTCAACAAGTCTCAATCCAACGCAGTCCACATGACGTTATTACACCCCCCACACCCCCCCACACCCCCATCTCTATACCCTAACTATAACGAGGTTTATAATGTTTATAGTACATGACAAGACTGAGGGTTCCTGGAAGCTCCGGGGAACCCCCAGCCTTGACCCTGTATGTATGTATGTATGTACGTAAGTATGTATGTATGTATGTATGTATGTATGTATGTATGTATGTATGTATGTATGTACCTACATTATGTATGTATGTATGTATGTATGTATGTATGTATGTATGTATGTATGTATGTATGTATGTATGTATGTATGTATGTATGTATGTATGTATGTATGTATGTATGTATGTATGTATGTACACATGTGTATATACGTCGATTATGTGCTCCCCTCGCGTGGTGATTGGGGCCACCACAATGGAAGCCAACTAGTAACTTGTCACAAAAATCGAGGATGGGGCATCCAAGACAAGGATCAGCAGATTTCAGTCAACTAAACCTGACAGGTGAGGCTACTGCAATACAAACAAACTAGCCTCACAAGGTTCAGGAGTAAATGTGTAAAAAGGCCTATTCAAAGAGCAAATGATTCAACACCAAAAAACGGCAGCCACACTCAGTCGCTCCTTGCACTCTGCAGGTCGTGTGTTTGGAACAAAAGCGCGGTCTGAAGCTGGGTCCGAGCCAGCGCCAAAGCAGCTCATGTGACCCAGGAAGTAAAATACACCACCTGGGCGGCTGCCAATGGGCCTTTGATATTCATGAGATACATTGAGATACCGTACACGCGCGCATGTACAGCATCATATAGATATACATAGGTATTACACATCTATCTATCTTTCTATATGTATTTATATAATATATATATGTATATATATATATGTATATATATAGAGAGAGAGAGAGCGGGTAGTAAGGGGGGTGGGTTTTTGAAAGTTGTGATTTTGCAATGTTTTGGCCTTTGCAGAGAACATGCCATTGAAATGATGAGAATGTGCAGTCACTGCTCTATGTGAAGAGAGCAATATATATAATATAAAGCTAGTACAAGCTTGGCTCTTTTACCGATATTTGCATTGATTGTTTGATTGGTATTGTGGATGAGATCTATTGGTATTCCAAAAGGTGGCACCAATGACACAAATCTATCATGCATAAGTAGATCTTAAAACCTCCCAAGGTTTTCTAGAATATATGTAATTAGGTTGCCACAAATAATTTAAATGAACAATGTCTTAATACAACATATAAAGAAAAAATGCATTCACCTTTCAAAGAATTGAAATGAAATAAGAAAGATAAGCTTACCTACTGCAAATATTTCATGGAACTCTTGGATTGAAGTAGAATTAAGGTAGAAGATTTCCACAAACTCTGAGAAAAAAGATGCATCAAGTGGTGTGACTTTAAGGCATAAAGTCTTTTACATGTAAAACTCAGTTAGAATTTGCCAGGGAATCTTTCCTGCTGGAAAATGAGGTTCAAGCAGAAATTACAAATAAGCTTATATAATGCTTATATTTTATCCAAAAATTCAAAGAGATCTTTCATTTTATAATATATATGTGTGTGTGTGTGTTTCACCTTCATTCAGTTCATTTCTCATTTATATAAATTACATACCCCCCAAGGGGGGCATGTAACAAATACTTGAAGTAATCTTGCATTTGGACATAAAGAAAACCCAAACAAAAACATGCTGTACTTTGTATTGAAACTGGCACCTCTAAATCAACGTATATTTTTTGCAAGATATTACATTTCCCAATTGAATCAATCCACTTGAAAAATGCATATATTTTTCAAGGGATTGCTGCAACACTTCAAGGAACAATCTGGATTGTAATGAAGAAACTCTTTCAAACAAAGTTATATACATCTCCCAAACAGGAATTGCACCGTATTTCAAACAATTATGCATTTCCCAATTGAAGCAAGCATCTTGGAAAAGGCATGTAGTTTTCAAAAGATCCAAAAAGAATGATGCAACACTTCAAGCATTGTGTTTTGTAATGAAGAAGTTCTCTCCCAACAAAGCTTCAAAGATGAATGCAGTGTCCAATTGAAGCAACCATCTTGAAAAGGGCATATATTTCTCAAAAAGAATGCTGCAAAACTTCAAGGAACATTAAAATTTCTAATGAAGAAGTTTCTGCAAAAAAAAAATGCATTTCTCTAAAAAATAATCCTATGTCAAACAGTAGTGCATTGGCACTGTTGGCATGGAGCCTCATCTACAAATGCCTCCTGTCATCTAGCAAATACCTCCTGTTGTCTGGCAAATCTCTAAAGAACACAAACCAAAAAAACACACAAAAAAAAAAAAAACAGACCCATGACACCAGAAGACATTCATCTGCTTTGGGGTCAAAAATCGTGTTTTTTTTTTGGTTTTGGTTTACATTTTATAGAGATTTGCCAGATGACAGGAGGTATTTGCCAGATAACAAGAGGCATTTGTGCGTAAGGTTCCATGCCAATATGCCCAAAGTTGTTTTTAAAAAAAAAACTAAAAACATTTCTACAATTTACAAAAACCCACCCCCCATGAGTATCCCTTCTGTAAATATCTCTCTCTCTCTGTGTTATTGACTTCTTTTATCTCTCTCTCTCTCTCTCTCTCTCTCCATCGCCATCTCGTTTCTCAATGTATCTGTTTATGCGTACCGTATACCTTCCATAGCATTTGCACCCATAGCGATCTTTCCTTTGCAAGGTCTTGGAGGGGAGGAGAAAAAAAAGAAGTACCAGTTTGATCAAATCACTCCCGCCTTCATCTGAAGACGCTCTACCTTTGGAACCATATCCTTCGTACCCCTCTTGCCTCTCATAGCCGTCCCTTTGGGAATACTCTGGGCCGGGGTAGTGACCTTCTCGCTGCGTGGACGTTGGAATCTCAGTTGTCGACTTGGTGCTGGTAATGGTTGTGGTCGTTGTGGTCGTTGTGGTCGTTGTGGTCGTTGTGGTCGCTGTGGTGGTTGTGGTGGTGGCGGCGGTGGTGGCGGTGGTGGTGGTCGTCGTCGTGGTGGTCTCCACAGTGGTGGCAGAAATTGCGGTTGTGGCGTTCCAGACTTGTCTCTTCACCCAAAGACTGTTCGCCGGTGACATGAAGCAGTGAGACATGTCATCCAGACCGCTGCGGAGGAAACATGTGCTCGGATCATGATTGTCCTGACGTTCGGCAAGGTCATGCTGAAATCAATGTCCAACCCTCAACGGTCTCCAGAGCTGCTATTGTTTACCACACCTTAGAGCTATGGTTGGCAGGCCTGCAGTCAACTTCCAACCAGCAAACTCTTTTCAAGTGTAGATTAGCTGTAGCACCCGCTGCAGATTCCCAACTTCCCGACTTTACATCTTTCCAGATCCAGACCCTGGTAGCCTGGCCCCAAGTCTTTTTTTTCTCCACCCATGCAGTGATGCAATGTCCTCAACCACAATGCCCTGGCAGTCCGCTATGCTCTGGCATTTCTGCATACATGCCGTCGGGGACATAGCCGTGGAGTATGGTTCAGGTACTCCCGCCAGACTCTTCCCACCCACTCCCGGAGGACAGTTCTTGTTGCGGTAGACCTGGCCCAATGGCCAAATCTCAGCGGTAAAACATGGTGAATCTACCGTTTAGGATTCTGGTGCTAAGCAGTTCCAGTTCTGACTCTTTGCACCCAATTCCTCCCACGAAATCACCTTCCCGGGCATCGATCGGGATCAATTAGGAACTCAGGTCTTGAAAGCAGTGTCATGATCATTGGCCGCATGTATCCCTATCATTTTGTTGAGTCAACCCACCATGAGTTCTTGATGAAAATGCACTCAAAAATGTTACTTCCATTGCGGTTCGAATACCACTAAGTTCTGATTTGTTGTTTTAATCTGCGCACTGTCCATCAATCACAAAAACAGAGTTGTCATAGCAGTTCGGAAAATGTATGATATCTAAATATACTTTTGCAACAAGCACCTAATGGTTTGCCAAAAGAACATGTTCACCCCCATTCGGTTTACCACATGGGTGTTTCATGAAACTGTGGTGCCCCAAACGATTGGTTTCCCATTTCTCTCCCCATGGTTTGTTTTTTTCTGACTAACAACTTGGAGAAGTAACTAGGGCCCCCCCCCGTTTAGGAATCCCCCAACATAAATCAGTTTGTTGGTTGTATCTCCCATTACAGTAACTCCTCATAAATCCTCATCACAAAGGCCATCGAAGATCAATTGAGGTTGTTCGAAAAAACACCCCATGTCCCACCAAGAAAAAAAAATGTTCCAAAATCTAGAGATTCAAAACAAACCTTCCCAAGTTCCCATTGTTTGAGATTCCCCAACAAAAGAATTGAGATTTGACCCCATCCGCCCAATAAATCGGCCTTCCAATCCGCAGTCAGTGGAAATTGCGAGGCCTGACCATAGCAGCTCCACCACTCCGGGATCGTTTTCCTGCCGCACCACCATGAAATCTGCATGGTTTTGGCGGATCAAACCATGAGAAATGGAGATTCAACCAACCATGCAAAATGTGGATATAACCAACAAAACTTAGAATTTCACCAGGGAAAAGAAAGGAACAAGCCAACCCAAAGTGGGAACCTAACCACAAAACCAATTCAATCCGACAAGTGAGATGGACACGTTCATCACGTTCTGGACAACTGGGGTCACAACTTCCCATGTGAGCTGGAATGATATTTTAAGGTGGTAGAAGTATTGAAAGACCCCTCGATTTGGCAACTGAAGTCCAAACATTTTTTTGACAAATCTCTGGCAAAAACACCAATTGAATTCATGAAGTCTGAAGCTGAAGCAATTTACAAATTTCGGAGACTTTGCCCAAAGGTTCCTAAACTCTAGCCCAGTTTCCCCATGTGAACCAACCTTTTCTTCAGAGTTTCCGATCTTTTCCGGGCTCCTGGGGTGGTATGCCACGTTGTAAGCCCCGCAGGTCCCTTCGAGCCGCGGCTTACAGCCGCGCTCCCACAGCAAGGCCGGAAAGGCGGTGACCGGCAGCGCGCCCACGCGCTGCAGGCAGCTCTGAAGCCTCGGCCGAGGCGAAGATCCTGGGAATTACTAGCTAATCTAGCTATGGAAAAGCTGGATTTAAGCTACAAGATTGGAAACCCATGCGATTTTAGGTTGTGAGTTACTTTTTGTTCAGAACTCACATTGGATTTTGCCATGACCAGCTGGGATTTGACCATGAAAAAGTTGGAGTTACCAATGAGAAATAGGGATTGAAGCATGATCAATTGCGTTTAACCATGAAATTTGGATTGAAGCAATGAAAGCTGATGATTCAACCATGGATTTCACTACGGAAAATTGGGATTTGACCATGAAACTGGGATCCAACGACGTCGGATTCAACAATGAAAAATGTTGGGTGCAAAAAATGGTCAATATAACTATGACTATACGTTTGAACTGCGCAAAAAAAAATTGATTCAACCCATCTTTGGAATCTTCAATGGATTGGTTTCAAGGGGATTTGGTGATCTCAATAAGCATCAAGGTGTGGAATTTTCCAGGGATCAGGAAATCAGGAAGAATTGACACAACCAGCAGGGATACGACTTAACAAATGGCAATGGTCAGTGATGGTCAGTGATGGTCAGTGGGGAAGTATTACTTTCTCCCGTGAAAAGAAACGGGCTGCGAGCTCCAATGGCCCTTTCCCGCCGAATTTCATTGAGAAAAAAAACCTGCAGATGGGGGGTTTTATAGAAGCAGCTGGTACTACAGGAAAGGAGACGAATTTGACTGGCCTATTCACTACTGGAGAGTTTTCGGTACATGGATTTGATTTCGGTACCTTTCTCTCCCGGTTTTTGTTTGTTTCCCTTCTCTCTCTTTGGGGAACCTACCTTGACTCCACGCAACGACATATAGGAAGCCCCAATGCCCAATCCACCCAGGTCTTCACATCCAAACAACCTGGATCTCACACCCCATCTGCCAATGTCCAAATCCATGTGTTTCTGGAATTTAGGCCCCAAATGATTTGGACAATGACATCATCTTCTCGTGGCCCGTATCACATATCACTCGCGCCGGAGGGCCAAATGTCTTCCTCGGGAATCTTTCCACACAAGTCCCAGTCGAGATGCCTTGGCCGGATGATGGTATCCTGGCGGTTGAAACCCCTAGTCTCAGACGCCAATGGAACCAACTCGTGTTCGTGAAATGCATACGGAGATATTTAGATAGGTTATAGATACATAATGATACATAACATATGGTGGACGCAGTTTAGTTCAGGCAGCATACAATTGAAGTGAGTTCGATACTCATACCCGCCAAAGTGAAGTTTCCCTTCACATGGCATATGAAGGAAACATGATGCAATGCTGCAAAGTTTTGACCCCAACCAAACAACACAAAGCATCACTCCTACACCTGGAGATAGTGTGGATAGCTTGGCCAGTGTTTTCCTGAGGTTCTGCCCACTAACAAAGGAACATGCAGGAAACAAGCATGGGGAGATGACCAAGAAAAAAACGGCTGCATTTCCAGTCAAATATAGAGTCACCAGCCAAAAATGGGGTCGGGGTCCAGCTGATAACCTGGAACCCAAGCTGCTTGATGGCCTCCCTTGAGACCACCTCTATGGGCCCGTGCAAACCTGCGGCTCCGTCGCTGCCGGAATGCTCTGGTGAATCAGTCCAAAAGCAACAACCCTACCTGCGGACCTACACCTCGTGCCAAACGATCCAAACGATAAAAGCCCTAATGTGCATTCCTGTGTATTCATGTGCGTGGGCTCGTATTTCTTTAGATATATGTACATATTATTATTGTCGTTATTGTAAATAAAAATATATTTATACTATAATTGCATACATATACATATATCACCATATATCTGAGCTAAGCTTGACACCAATCACCCTGCTGGTGTCTGAGTCTGCCTGACCATTCAGGACCCTAGGTTCCCAAATCAAACCACAGCTTCAACTTTAAGACCAATGCCTCTGCCTTTCACCCTTCCGAAACATAACCTGAAAATCAAACTATAATAGAAACATAGATGGATGGATAGATAGGCAAATGGGCAGACAGGCAGACAAGCAGACAGACAGGCAAATAGGCAAACGGGCAAATAGGCAAATCGGTGAATAAGCAGATGGTTTTCCTAGGAAACCTGCCGGTTTTCACACTAGTTTTGACTTCAGATTCCCAACATTTTTGTGTCCCAACCACCGAAACCCTTCCCATGGGAGACTATCCTGCAATCGGGGACCATGGGACTCCTAAAACCCCCTCTTTCAATTGGGCGTGTTATCAATATCAATCCCATATACATATACCAGTAGTACCGCACAAGGCGGCGGCGGAAGTTTCAAAGATAGCAAACTATAGGACAGGTGCATTGCTGTGATGCATGGATGGCAGAGCGAGCCTACTGATGCACCGAAAGATGGCTGAGGCTCTAAGTCTCTTTTTTTCTCTATGTTACCTCCTCTCTGTGTCTCTCTGTTACCCCCCTCTGCGTCTCTCTATCTCTCCCTCTGTCTATCTGTCTGTCCATCTATCTATCCATCTATCCAACTATTTATCTATCTATCCATCTCTCTATCTAGCTCTCTATCTCTTTGCCTATCTCTCTACCTATGTACCTACCTTGCATATCTGTCTGTCTCTCTATCTCTCTATCTGCCTATCTGTCTATCTATCTATTCATCCATCCATCCATCTGTTTATTTATATATCTGAAAGGGAACAATTCTGCGAGACTTCCTTCAAAACTGCATCGATCTATGAATGTATCAATCTAGCAATCTACCAACCTTTCAACCTATCAATCTATCTATCCATCCATCTATCCTTCTATCCATTCTTTTGAAACTAGCAACAGTAGCAAGCGTGACTCACCAGTGCGAACCACCCCATCTATCTCTCTGTCTGTCTGCCTGTCTCTCTGTCTAGCTCGTTATCTATCTGTCTATCTATCTAGCTACCTATCTACCTACCTGTCTGTCTACCTATCTATCTACCTAGCTATCTTTCCGTCTGCCTATCTATCTACCTAACTATCTAAGTATGTACCTACGATTCTGTCTGTCTACCTGGCTCTATCTATCTATCTATCTATCTGTCTGTCTGTCTGTCTATCTATCTATCTATCTCTTTCTCTCTCTCTCTATCTCTCTATCTCTCTACCTCTCTCTCTCTCTCCATCTACCTACCTATCAAACTTTCTCACTATCGAACTCTCTTTCTATCTTTCTATTGATCTATCTATCTAACTAGCTAGCTAAATAACTAAAGAACTAACTAATTAACGAATGAACAAACAAACAAACAAACAAACAAACTCAGTGCCTGACCCACTGACTGACTGATAATTATCCCGCCAACTAACTGACTAACTTGCTAGCTAACTAACTAACTAACTACCTACCTACCTAGCTAGCTAGCTAACTAGCTAGCTAACTACCTATCTACCTACCTATGCACCTACCTATGTATGTACCTACCTATGTACCTACCTACCTACCTATCTATCTATCTATCTATCTAGCTAGCTAGCTAGCTATCTATCTATTTATATCTATATATCCATCTATACCTATCTCTACCTATCTCTACCTATCTCTACCTATCTCTACCTACGGTATCTCTACCTATCTCTACCTATCTCGACCTATCTCTACCTATCTCTACCTATCTCTCTGTCTGTCAGTCCGTCTAGCCACCCATCCGTTTTGAAATGGAAACTGGAAAAGATCAAAACCGATTCAATTCTCCAAGGCATCTTGAAAAAATGAAAGTTCACAGCTCCAAAACCATCAAATTCTGCGAGGCTTCCTCAGCTTTCGCAGTTGACAGCATCAAAAACGAAGCAATTCAGCGAGCCTTCCTCAATTTTGGAACTTGACATCGTCAAAAACGAAAAATTATGGCGAGACTTCCTAAATCTTCGAAATTGACAACATCAGAAACGAAGCAGTTCTGCGAGACTTCCTTCACAAAGTTGTTGAGTGCCGAGCTGACCGCCTCGTGCCAATGCATTTTGTGTTTTTTCTAGCCCATGTCTCTTAAAAACCACGCCTGCCACGAACAAGTGAGGCCAGGTCATACGAAGTGCTGCAAATGTCACGCAAAATCATCTTTGAAAACCTGAAGATCTGATACTCCAAAACGGAACTTCTCTCAGGAAATCATCGCCCTGACCTCCTAACATCTCTGATGAACATGTCTCTTGTTTTGCGCCTGCTACGCGGAAGAATGCATCTTTGCAGTTCCTCTTCAAACGTTCCACGCTTGCCATAATTTTCAAAACTGCTACGACACCTTCACGTTTTGCTTACTTTTTTGGCCAGGTGCAGAATCCATTGCGCCTCCCACGAAAGTGGCGCTTGAACGTCCAAAAGCGGTCCGAACATGTGGCGCTTTTACCATTTTGACTTCGAAGTGTGCTTCGCGCCGGAATGTGCTTCGGGCCACCATGCGGTGCGCTTTTTCAACTTCTCAACTTCAAAAAGCGGCCCGTCCGACACTGAGATGCTTTAAACAGTTTTACTTCCAAATTCGCGCACAATAACAGCGTGAACTTTTTTAACATGTCCGCTTCCAAGAATGTTCCAAGACTGAAGCATTTTGACTTTAAAATCTGCTTCGTGCCAAAACGGCATGCAATTTTTCATCTCTCATCTGGCCAAATGGCTCCGCACCCACCGCTTTAGCGAGCCTACTTTTCGACCCTCCGGCGCCACAAACCATTTGAAAAACGCCATGAATCGTATCTTTTCTACCTTCACCTGCATCTTCTTTCCTCTGGCTCTTTCTCTTCTCTGATCTTCTCTCTTCTTATCTTCTCTTCTCTGACTCTTTCCACCTCTGCTTTTCCATTTATCCATGTTGTCGGAAGTTTGACTTCCAAACTTCCTTCAATAATTGTCGGACAAGTTTTCCTTCACCCAAACATCCCGTTTTATCCTAACACCATCCATCGATCTCCATCCCCACCTTCATTGCAGTTCACGAGGAAGGATTTCAATTTCACCGGCGGCAGCAGCGAGGCTAAACGCTCGGGCATGAAAACAGTATCGGGGTCCAGCTTTACCGTGAAAGCGTGGGCTAAAGCCTCGGGCATCTTCTGAACCTGCAAACGTGATCGTTTTGCATCGGTCGTGGTTTTTGTCGAAGGGGAACAGGCGGCGTTCACCATCACGATTAAGGATTTGACCATCAAACACTTGGATTTGACTGGAACGAAGCATCAAAGATTGGGTATATATAGTTGGCAAAATTCCAAAAGCAAGACATTTACCAATGCCCGACAAAGGGAACAGAAAAGAGAAGGAAAGCGCCGAAGGGTTGCCATGCTTTTTTGGTGGGAGATTCAGATCCCAGACCACATTTTGTAGGTGTTCGAGATTGGTGACAATTGGCATGTCTACCGTGGCATGAACAGCTTTCTATGGTTTCAACCCGGCGGCCCTCAACAAACACAGCCTGCGGCCCCTGCCTTCTGCCAGATCGTTTTGAAGACTGGCGTGTTCAGCGCTGTTCCCCAACGGCCGCCTTTGGCCACGCCAAAGGCCAGCGTCGGCAGAGGATGCGTCACCGGGGTCATGTTGGCTTGCCCAAAGACCGCATACGTTGGGCACTGAAAAAGTCCTGGTTGGTGGTTGAAGGGCCAGCCACCCCTTCAAAAACTGGACAGTCAATCGGGATCATCATCCCACATGGGGTGAAAATAAAATGTTGCAAACCAGCAACAAGACTCCCTTTCCCTTCTTCTGCTGAGACAACAGCAGTGCTCGTTCCAGGTCCGGCTGGCCCATCACAGTGAAGCAAAAAACGTCAGGCACTGCACTTCCAGCACTGACTCCGTGTAGGAAAGTGGTGGCTTCCACTTCTGCCGGCAGGAGAGAGTGACTCACTGCGAGCTGCGAGTGGAGGAACAGGATGGCGCTAAGGCAAAGCAGGACCGTGCCAATCACTACGAAGGAGCGCGAAGAGCCACTGCCACCCGATGGCTCTTCATCATACTGCTGTATAATCAAAGGATAAACCTCAACAGTGGCGAAGGTGGCCATGTTTCTCAAAGTTTGGGGATCTCTTTTGTTACGGCGATGACTGCCACATGTACAATGTCCCGGCCTTGGATTCCCATCATGGAATCAAATCTTTCTAAGTCAAGCCTGTGATCAACATCAAAACCCAAGACATGCCATGTCTGTGGCGTCCCAGCGGCTTGCTCCTCATCCACAGCCAAGCCCCTCGCGCTCATCTCCTCACATTCTCTCAAGGGATTCATCCGGCTCATCGCTTCAGCGCGCAGTTGCGCATCCGCTTCGAGCCCGCTGCGGTTGATCCACGGTTGATCGAAATGGAACCCCAACTGATGGCCTTTCCATTGAAGATGTGCGGAAACCAAAAAGAAAATCCCTTGTGAGGGGATCACAATACCTGTCCAGGATCAAGCCGATCGGCGGGTTAGCTCCTTGAAAATAGATTCCCCAAAATCACCGTTGGTGGTATAAACCATCCCCAAATGATAGGTTTATGGCATTGGCTTGCTAACGCTAGATATCATTCCAAATAGAAAATTGCGTGCTGAAGATGCGCGAAAAAATATCCTAAGCCCTGATCCAAAGCCCAAGGCTTCCAGCAGCCCCGAATATCCGGCGTAGACGTGTGTAAGTATGCGTATCAGATATGTGTATATATCTGATATATATCCAGATGTGGATACAGATTTGGATATCAGTTGCATCTTAGATACTTGCATTAGATTGTGAGTACATATATGAGATAGGATTAGGTTCAATTCACTTCCATTAGGATAAGATGAGATCAAATAAGATAACACACAAGATAATATAAGGTAAGACAGAATAAGATGAGAAAAGGTAGAACAACACAGAAGTAAAGAGATAATGGAATAAGAACAGATAGGATAAGATAACACAAGAAAAAAATAAGATAAGAAAAAGACAAGATAGGATAAGATAACACAGAAGGTAAGATAAGATCAGAGAGGGTAAGAAAACACAGAAAGTAAGATAAGATAGGATCAGCTAAGATAGGATCAGAGAAGAAAGGAGAAGATAACACAAAAGATCATATAATAAGACAAGAAAGGAAAGGATAACACAGAAGGCAAGATAAGATAGGATATGATAGGATGAGAAAACACAGAAGGTAAGATGAGATACGGTCAGCTAAGATAGGAAAAGAAAAGATTGGATAAGATAACACGGGAAATAAGGTAAGGTAAGGTAGGAAAAGAAGAGATCAGATAGAACAACACAAGAAGATAAGATACGATAAAAGGGTAAGGTAAGCTAGGGTAAGAAAACGCAGAAATCGGATCAGATAAGATAAGGTGAGATGAGACAGGGTAAGATAACACAGAAGATAAGATAAGATAAGATAAGGTTTCACCAGATACGATAAGATAGTGTATGATAAGATAACACAGAAAACAAGATCAGATAAGATAGGGAAACACCAGGTTAGGATAGGATAAGATAGGACAACATACCGTACCATGACATAACATAACAAAACAAACATAGCTAGATACTGACCTCTTAAATGATCTCTCCACTCTCCGGTGCCGTTACCTCCACCAAGTGCATGCTGTCCACCGTGGTCTCACACTGCTCCGTGGTGAGGCCCAAGACCTGGCGTTCCACGCGTAGACTCACGTGTGAGATCTTGGGATTGACAAATAAAAAATGTATTTAAAACATGCGCGATGTAATGGTAAATGTGGACTTGACCAAGAATCTGGACTTTTTTCCATGAAAAATTGTCGTTTACAAACCACACATTGGTTTCAGCGTGACACACTAGGATTGAATGATTAAAAGGTTGGAGCCAACCTTTATGAACCAACAACAATGACGTATAATGACGTATATAGCCCTATATACATCTTTTCAATGGATCCTTGAAGAGATCCTTGAAGGGCAGCCAGAGAGGAACCATGGCCTCATGTACGTTTATTTTTTTTCAAACTTGAGAGCGTTTGCAAGGAAACAGCGGTTTTTCTCTGAAGGTAAGCCGCTTGGGGTTGCTGGTTTTTGTTTTTTGGTTGGATTTCCCTTCGGCTAATCCTGTGACGGGCCCAAATTTTTACCCAATACAGCCAGTGCAGATGAAACCACCACAGGCCGACAGCTCACCTCTGAGAGAACCTTGTTGCCCTTCAGCGCCTTCGTGATCATCTGCCTGCAATGATCTGCCCCTGCTTCTGATGAAACACTTCCAAAATAGCGGTAAGGCCCATCGTCCGGACTTTGCGCCTGTCATCCTCCGTCTTTTCATAAGATTGCACCAGCTTGAGCATGGTGACAGGACAACTGGCGGAGTAGGCCGGTGGGATCGAGGTCTGGGGTTCAGAGTTCAAACTGTCTGAGGCAACGCCAAGCCTCTTACATAACATGCAATGTCACAACAAATCCGCCCGCACCGAAGGTGCCGAGGCGTGGTAGTTTAGCAGTGAGGGATGTAACAGATCTGTTCAACGGGTACAGCTTCACCAGGAGACTGTGGCAATTTGCAGCGATTTCATGCAGATCGGCCCAACATCGTGCAAATGCACCGTTTCGACCCCACATGTCCGCAACATCGGTTCCCCTTGGGGGCCAGCATTGGTCAACATGGCCCCAATTTGGTTGGGTGCGGGCGGTACTCGTCGCGAAGCGACTCGAATATATAAACTGACTAAAAATGCATGAACCAAATCCCAAACTTATACACAATCTTTACCAAAAAAAGGGCAAAATCTGATCTATAACTATGGCCAAGTTTGATGTGTTCCACAATGTCGACCACCATTTGGATCCATGTATGTTGATGTTCTTTGAGATAAAGGGGAAAAAACAAGTGCTATGTCTGATCCTGCATTCTGTCTCTGTATAAACTTGACACCAGCAACAAGCTTCCTGAATCTGGGCACCCATACTGCCCAGCGGGCACATTGTCCTTTGACCTTAGAAATCCAGCCGCTCTGCGAGATTTCAAGAAGCTGCGCGCCTGTTGGAGTTGTGAGGGACAAAAACACATATTCATTCCAGCACCATATCATATCTGGTCCGCAAATCCTATTCCCTTGTTTGCTAATGGGCCCCGCCATGAAGGTGAGCGGCGGCACAAATGAACCCTTACAAACCAAGCTGTAATATGTATATATGGTTCCATATTATAATATATATATATACTGTGTGCATGTGTGCGCGTAACCCACTTCCCATAACCAGTCAGAAAGGGTCAACTGTCAACTGGTCCCTGCTAATCTGGTATTTCCAAACACCCACCTCATGAGTGAAGCTCCTTTCATGCTCCCTTCAGGTTCACTTTCAGGTTCTTTATTTTGTATAGTGAGAAGCGGAAAAACGCTGGTTCCCTACATTGGCTGATTGGGCTGGAATAAAGCCCTATCGGCTACACTCCAGAGGGCAAGCACCCAAAAAAGGTGTGTCCATGTGTGTGTGTGCGCGCGGGCATCTTGCAACCTAAGAAGCATGGGTGGTACAATCAATAAGTAATTACTCACATCTGCTGCCAGATTTCTCTGGTGACACAGGTCTTATACGCGCCAAATAGCTGAACGTGACGGAGTTCATAGCTTGCGCGGTTCAAATACTTCTTTGCGTCATCTGGTCCACTGCTTAACTCAGGTCTCACAATGCCAAGAAATTGTGCCAGAGGCTGGTCGTCGGGTTCTTTAAAATTAGTACGGGACAAATGGCAGGGCTGGCACGATAGTTTTCCCCCTGTCCACTGTTCTTGGAGATCTTATAAAGATGTCCCTTGTTGATTGCACCCCTTGCTGCTTTTAAAAACCTCCTGTTCTGAATTGGATGCATGGACCAACCCATTCCAAGATCACTCCTCCAAGTCCAGCTCCAAGCAGTGGACTCAAAGCCCCCAGTAATAACCACCAGGCTCCCCTGCTTGAAACGAGAACCGAAGGCTGCAACACCATTGGCCAAAGCTTTCCCAGCCTCCACAACCCCCAAAAAAAACGATATGGTTAAACCGTTTACCCAATGATAGTCGATCCCCCATATGTCCATCAATGGGCTGATTTTACACAGCCCAAATTAAATGCATTTAAATGCTATGTTTATGGCATTGGGTTGATCATGTTTATCACATTAACCCCTTCACTTCTGCGAAGAAAATGATCAAACCCCCTAAGAATCCTGGTGGAAAGAGTTGAATCTGCCCGTGTTGGGGGAAAAATGCGTCTGTGGCATGGTCAAAAAAAACATTGGATTATATATGATTATATGGGGTACGGTCATCCCAATCATCCCATCATTTGGGGAATTCATGCCCTCTTGGAATCTAATACAGCCACTGTTGGGCCCCCCGTGGGTGACCTTGATGCCCTCACGCTTCAAGCTCTTCCGCACCACTAGGTCCAGCTCCTGACCCCATGTTTCCCTACGAAAAAATGAAGCAGAACCGACAGAAAAACAAAAAAAAAAAACATAGTTGTTTAAGTCTTCTTCGCCTATTTGTCTGTTTTATTGCATAATTTCCCTGACACCAATTCTGGAACTATGGTTACGGTTAGGGTAATCATGATCTTACGATATCTTATGCATGTTTGATCACCATGAGGTATTCCATCACCCATTTTGAGAATAAAAAGAGGTACAGTAAGCAGGATAAAAGTGGAGATGTCGGAATATCACTGGGTTTTGACATGCTGAAGTTATGAACGACTTTGTATTCCTGGGATGCGCATCCAAGCACCTGGATTCTTATCCTCTCAGCAAGGCGGAGAATAAGAGCTGTGGTTATTGGAAGTCAGTGAAGTCCATTAGGAATGCTTGAGGAATCAGAGGAATCAGTGCTGAAAACAAAGGCCCGGCATTTCAATCTTCACCCTGTTTGTGATTCTTTCCAAGGGATTGCCAGGTCAAGAGCTTTGATAGCACCAGTAGGTTCGGCAAATGTTTTTGTCACATCTGAAGGTTTTTGTCAAATGTTTTTTGGCATCCAGCCTCAACATGAAGCCATTTGCCTGGAGTGACATCACTTATACACCTTTCTCATCAGGAAATTCCTGTGCAGCAAGTTGTTAGACATTTAGTAGAGATTTAATGCATGTTTCACCCTCACATGCGATTCACATTGCAAAAGGTAAACCGACTGATTGGTCTACCTGTGTTTAGGGTTGCCAGCCGGAGCCATTTTGTTGCCGTCGCATTTCCCAAAGATGGCGCCACAACCCCTTCAAAGCTGCCTGGAATTTTTCGCGGGGCACGCAGAGAGTTCTGACCTTGGAGGGTGCGGCCATCTTAGCACATGGACCCCCATCTGCTGGTCCAACAGCCCTACTGAAAAGGCGACCCAGCGAATGGGTTTGGGGACCCCCAATACTTGTTGAGATCAAAGAGCAACCGCCGGCAAATGTTGGATGTGCCTTTGGCCACACACAAAAAAAGAAAAAAATATCACCAAAGCCGGCTCCACCAACCTTGATTCCACCAGAAAATGATTGCACCTTCTGAGGTTCCTCACGCCGGACCCTGCCACCAGGGATTTGGGATTCTTCAAAACTTGCGTCTTGGCCTGTCCAAAAGCATGGCATTCCAGCGTAATGAAATCCAAATAGGACCCTGGCATGAACAGGGCCGAATGCTGGAAGAATCAACCTTACCAGTTTTCAGGTGGCTTGTAACCCCAGCAACTGATTTTTGGCAAAACTGGGTGCATAGCCAAATGGAGGTGCCCCCAAAACCCACAGGTTTACCAGAAAATACTGAATTAAAATTACCTTTGTTGGTTGATAAGTTGATATATCTAATATACTGTATCCCATTCTATCCCCATACCCCCATTCTGCACCCGGTAAATTTGGCTGTCCCTCCATTTCTGACCTACTGGCCCTGCCAAAAAAACGCCGCAACGTGGCCCTGGCCGCGGCCTGCTGCATCGCTTCCACCCCCAGGAACTCACCAATCCTGACAGCCGATCTTCTCAAGGATTCTCCATTTCCAATGGAACTCCTGAGAATTACCCGAATAAGATCGAATAAGTATTAATCATCTAAAAATCTCAATTGACTTTTGAATGTTCCTCCGATATCAAAGTGTGATGCATCGAAAAAAATAAAAGGATAAAAGGATCATCACATGTGGATTTGTGACCTTCCCCATTGCTTCCTAAAAATTGGGACTGGTGCTTGAGCCACCCCGTCCCAGAAATGTATGAAGATAGACTGAGATCAACATCGCCCCATGTAAGGTACATGGGAATGGGTCAAAACTATCAAGACTCCCAGCTTGGAATCCATCAATGTTTGGACCAGTGTCCCAATGCATTGCCTACCGGGCCTACCCAAATGGCTTTGCCCAAAAATAGGGGAACCCTCAAAAATGAACGTCTTAGCATCACTTTAAATTATATAAGTGGTACATCCCCGCTGAAATGCCCAATCCCCAAAAATCATGATGTGACCCTCAATTATAGATCGCTACGCTTCGCCCGAAATAGTGGTTGTTTGTGGTTTTTTACCCAGTTCATAGACCCAAAGCATACACCCTAACATTGTTGGGAGGGTTAGGGAACCACTTTTTGATGGGTGGGTTGGTTTCCCCATCGCCAAATTAAGAATCTTTGACACCTGTGCTCCGTCCCTAGCAGCCTCAAGGTACGAACAATATGATGCTCGCAGAGGTCGGCAGTACCTGACAAGGAGCTCGATGTGCTTCCAACATGAAGAGATAGTAGTTTGTCTATCCTTTTTTGGGCGTGCTGCAATATCAAATACCTTCCCTAAAGAAAAGACCAGTATTGTAATGGATCTATTCCGAATGATGGGGTGATATTTCATGTTGAGGGAACCGTCGCCCCCAAAAGTGGACAGAAATTCATTGAAACTGAGAAATTCAAACATAAATGATCACCAACTGCACCAACTTCCATTGACATATCTTTATCCGTCTGGACCTCCAAAATGCTGCTGGTTTCCACCCAGTATGCAAGTCAACTAGGGGTCATCATCTCATCATCGTTCAATGGATTGGTTACCGTTGGTAGTGAACATCTCAGCGTGGGTGCAATGTGTGTCCTTAAACTGCTTTGCGCCGCTGCGCCGCTGCGCCGCTCCAGTCGGTTGTTTCCTTGCGCCTGTGCGCTGCTGCGCCGCTGCGCTGTTGTTAGGCTTCGCTTGCGCCAGTGCGCTGCTGCGCTGCTGCGCCGCTGCGCTGTTGTTTGGTTGCAGTTGCGCCGGTGCGCTGCTGCGCTGCTGCGGCGCTGCGCTGTTGTTATAGGTTGCACTTGCGCCGGTGCGCTGCTGCGCCGCTGCGCAGAACAGGTAAGCTGAGCAATTGCGTCCCAGCATCGGAGCATCGGAGCGCAGAATGTCAACACAAGAGCTGCGGAGCGGAGTGGAGCATCGGAGCATCGGAGCGGAGGGCTGCGCAGCGGAGCGGCGTGGAGGATCAGAGCCGCAGAGGATTGCGCAGCGGAGCATCGGAGCATCGGAGCGGAGGGTTGCGCAGCGGAGCGAAGTGCATGGAGCATCGGAGCATCGGAGCGGAAGAGCTGCCGCACTAGATGGAGTGGAGCATCGGAGCGGAGGGCTGCGCAGCGGAGCGGAGCGGAGCATCGGAGCATCGGAGCGGAAGAGCTGCCGCACTATGGAGTGGAGCAGATTCGAGGGAGGATCGGAGCATCGGAGTGCAGGATTTCAGCAGTTGACAGGAGTGGAGCGGAGTGGAGCATCGGAACGTCGGAGCGTAGGGTTGCGGCAGCCAAGCACCATCAAGCAGAACTGATCCAACTGCATGAATATAAAAGCACATGTGGACTAGTACAAGCACCGGAGCGGAGCAACGGAGCATCGGAGCAGGAACGTTTACCAGGACACGCTCTGCACTCACTCTGGAACATCTACAGGAAACCATTGTTTTTTTCATGGGTTTTCCCAAGAAATCTGGGTGGTTCCGCAGGCTTCCGCAGGCTTCCACCATCCCTTTCCAAGAACTTTGCCTGACAGCAGGATGTGCAACTCATTTGCCGCCGTGCCGGTGCTGATAATCACTTCCTCCTCGCGAATCCAAACGGCATAGGTTGAGGCAGTGGAGATGTCAGTGGAGACACCACGAAATTGGGAGTCCAGAACCCAAGGAACCACATTGACACATGTTTTTGATGACGTGCAGAGTACACATAGAGCACACACAAAAACACAGGTGTGAATTAAAGTCCAATCAAAGTCTAGTCCATCTACTCCCCGAATACTATTTACTCGCCCCAAAACCGGACCACAGTGAACTGGCAGGAAATTGCATTAGAAGCCTCACCGATGCCCAAGGTGCGGGTCTGTGGCACAGAGTCGAATTCCTTCGTGGTGGACTCCAACTTGGGTCGTAAACCACCCTCATCCAATCCAAATATGTTCATCTCCTGCTCGTAGTGGCGCAATTCGCAAATGTCCGCAACCTCACGGCAATATGCGTGCTCATCTACAGAGAGATGAGCAGTTCCCTTGGATTCTTCGGCAAGTTGATCTTTAGACTTTGGACTTTACACTGCTTCTGAAGACAATGAGGCTGATAGGCATGTATCTTGGCTCATACATCCTCCAGTAACCCAACAACAACAACAACAACAACAACGACAACAACAACAACAACAACTTCAACTTCATGCTTGGGTCGTTCATGAAAGCCAAATGCTTCAACGTATCCAACTGGCACTTCCACGTTGCTGGTAACGCAAATCACAGAAAGAGCTGTGCACAGTCCAGTACATATGTGTATGTGTGTATATATATATGTGTGTGTGTGCTCGATGCTTGTCCACCCGCACATGAAGACACTATCACACTCCCATATTAGGTAGGGAGAGAGAGAGAGAGAGACGTGGAAAAAAAAGAAAGATGGATGTGCATCCGGGTCCAATATATTTAAAAAAATATACTTTAACAATACACCGCCATGTATTTTTTTGTAGTTATAATGATGTTGTATGATATGCAGTACATAAACAAACATCTCACAAAGAGTATATATATATCCCCATCAGCATATCCCCATACTGCCTCTGATATCCCAATCAAATGCCCAGCTGAGCTCCCCGAACGCGCTCAAGGTCCTGTGCTGAATAATCGTTCAGCCGCTCTACTGTCCTGTGCAGATGTCATTGGTGGAATCATCATCCCAGAGCAAATCAGAACAAAAACATGAAACATCATGAAACCTGCCACGTTTGGTGTTTGTGTTTGGAGATTGTGCCCAAAATTCGGAAAATGTAATGAAAATTTGCTCAACTGCAAACTAACTAACCCATCCCCATAACATTAAGCACCCCCATTCCATGATCCCAAATATGTGAAATTTATGTGGTTTTATCCCCCACTTTTTACCGGGCTTTCTGCGTGGGTGCTTAATATGAACGGGGAATTGAATTCTTGAACAAAAACAAAGACAATTTATAAACACCATTACATATCCCTCCTTAATATCCCATGAAAAATCACCATGTTTGATTGGTGATTTACCTCATTCAACAACTGGTTATGTACTGTAAATAACTCTCAAAAAAAAATCCCGCTGATTTCCAGCTCCGATCCTCAAATGTTCCAGGATCTCTTCGGAAGTAGGTGCTGCCATGCCCTTGAAGGATTGGCTTCCACATTCAGAGGTCACCTTCTTACCTGCGGATGTTGAGGTTGAGGTCGACACTATCATATGGTAAAGCCAATGGTATGGTATAAACAAATAGTGACAATGATGATGATAATAATCTATGGTAATAATATGGCACAGCCAATAAGAAGCCGTCCCAGATTAACCAACCATTTGGGGGTAATTTTGGACCCTGCCAAATAGAGGTTGAGCTCAGTCAGACAAGATCTTCTATGCGCAAATAGCCACACAGACAGATAGATCCATGGTGGATTTTTCCAAAAGCAATATAGACATAGGTACTTGATGATACTTGATATTTGTGCCCCGTGCGCAGGGAACCCTCAAAAAGAACGTTTCCGTATATCAGCCCGGGAAAGTGTCCCTCTCCAGTGCTTTTGTCATCATTGATGCGAACCCTGACCGCTCTGTGCTCCGCACGTGGATTTCTGAAAGCTGGCTTCCTCACACAGCTGGACCAGCATAACAAGTGGTTTTGGGCACAGGGGGAAGGGCAGAGTCATCCAGCTTTTCTCAATTGGCATCGTTGGAAGCTAGTCATAGCTATTCATAGCTAGGCATAGCCAGGCATTGAGGCTCGATCAAAGCTTCGCCACCTGGCAATTTTTTTTGGGCATCGAGATGCAGCTTGGTTCGCAACTTGTCTCTCTACGTATCCCAGCTGCAAGCTATCAGAAGGCTCTATATAATATATATAATGAATATGTAATATATATAATATACAATATATATATATATATATTCTTGCCATAACACCGGCACATCATGGAACATCCACGTGGTACGAAGGAAGCTTTCTATACACAGCCTCTTTCCACCGAAGAGATTCATTGACGCTAATCTCCAGGATCGTAATGCACGCTGTACGATGCTGTTCAAGTCAGCTGAATGCTTGGTCCGGAAAACCCAATGGGAACAAATGGGAACAAGATCATACAAAAATCCCCCAATGATCTCTGAAAATTGCAATCTTGGGGCTTCCCCACAAGATTTGGGATGTTTAAGCCTGGGATTTCGGGAATTCCTGACCCAAACCCCTCAAGTGATCGACACCTGGAGATGCAGCATCTCCCGCAATGGATGATGTAGACTCAGGCGCCAGGGGCACTGGTGACGCTGCTCTCGAGCCTTAGCACACCAAGGGATACAGAATCTGCCGGGAAAATCGGCGTGACGTGTTTAATGTTTGCTTGGGTGAAAGAAAATATACTAATAAGTAATGCTAACTATGCTAAACTCCAGATTATTGTTTCTATATCGGCTTCATGTTCGAACCAAGGTTCCATAATCTTCGTCTTCTTTCTATTCAGGCCAATTGCCCTTGGCTAGGAACCTGTCTCTCTTCGTTGCCACTGGGGCTGCGGGCTGTCATCTTTCACCTCCACCATCCTGAATGGCCATGGCTCAATCTCCAAAACAGGATAGTTGTACCAACACCTTGAGGAAAAAAACTGTTGTATATGTATAGGTATATTTACGTGAAACTATACATACATAGATATAGATCTGTGTGCCCGCCTCTGCGTCATAGTGGGGAAATTGGTTTAAAATATGATCAAATTGGGTGGGCTAAGAAAGAGGACTTGGATAGCAGAAGAACCCAAACTTTGGCTCTACTCCAAATACACAAGAAATTTGGACCGAAATGTGATCGCTCAACGTTTGGGGAAAAAAAAACGTGGCTTAAAATCAAGGGAGATGAGATTAGATGAGGGTATGTGGCACCAAGACTGTGGATATCAACCCATCAAATCCGATGGTCTTAAAGTTGAAATGTCCCAGATGTTGTGTTCCCCCATTGGTCCATCAAGTTTTTGGAGCAAGTCCCAAATTGGCCCAGTTGAACGGTTTTATCAATTTTGGGGTAGGTCCTGAGCCTTGAAACTGTGGGTTTCTCCCACAGTTTCGGTCCCCTACCTTTGGGGCAAAACGCGAAGCTGCATGATCTTACAAAGATCTTCCAGGTGAGAAACGTTAGAAAATTTCACCACCGTCCCAGTAGGGATATCATTCGGACTTTTTTGGGAATGCTACATCCAGCCATTCAAGCACCCTGGGGCCCCGGGCTCATTGATGGACAAGCGAGCTCTGCCCTCAGCATAAGTGCCACCACAAGTGCCACCACAAGTGCCACCAGAAATAGGCTGCAAAAGCCACCCGAACTTTGCCACATTTAGTCATTTTGAATTTTGTCCCTCCCAAACAAAAATGTGAAAAAATGTTGGAAACCAACCGCAAGATGAGGTACTGTTGCACTGTTTTTTCTTGAAGTCTATTTCTCTGCCTGTGGGACAAGAGTCGCCATCCCTTACAATCTTCACACTTGGGTTGGACTTGGGTAGCAACTACAACCCCTCTGTAGCGAAATTCACAGCCTTTGGACCTTTGGTAGTTCATTGTCGCTCCCAAAATCTTCAGCTCTTCCCAAGCTCGGATCCCCAACAGCCCCTCGACGAGGGGAGTCAGTGGGCTTGCCCGGAGGCTTTGGCACCTGGCGAAATCCATGGGTCTTGTCCGGAAATCCCCTGGAAATGGGCCTCTATATCTATAGAGAGAGAGAGATATATATATATATATCAATATCTTCGCTGTGCAAACAGAGAATGAAAATACTGAATACCCTTTGGTAATCAAACATGGCAATGGGATATTCCCTATACATGCAGGTTTTGATGGGATAATCATCATCTGCTAATTTCTATTAATGGGGAAGTTTCCATTGCCATGCTTGATTACTGGAAGGTAAATTAAGATATCTCATAGGTAATTTTGTTTCTGTTATGTGTGTATATATATATATTACCATGACATGGTCCTCAAAATGGGGAAATCATTCCCAACAACGTCAGGGAAGAGTGAGCCCAATAGATTGATGAATGCAGTCTGAGATCAAGACAAATCAAGGTGAACTTGGGGACCCTGAAAATGCTTGACAAAAAAGTACAATGAATGTGCTTTTAGCATTTTTATGCATTTTTTAGCCATGTCTGTGAATCAGCATAGAATCCACGGAAGCCAAAAAAATCACCAACAAAGCATGCGTTTGCCCCTTGCACGACTGGAAAACAACCCGCCTTTGGGAACGCCGCCTTGATCTCAGAGAACAATGACGGGCTACACGCTTGCCCTGCGAGGTGCATCAAAACTGCGGTGGACGGATCTTCCGGCTGGTCGCAGCATATCAAGCCTCGGGCAGCTCGTGCCTGTCATGCTCCCTCTTTTGTTGCAGCTTTGGGACCCTTGGGGAGTGGGTCTGTCCAAATAGTGCAATTAGATTCATAGTTTTAGAGGGGGAAAAACATGATCGACGCATATCAACCCGGTCAGGTCCCTGGGGTCCCAAATGGCTATGGCTTGTGTGGGATCCACCCCCCCAACTCGAGGAGCAGACGTAGCAGCTGGTGAATCAAAGGCACAGCCTCCAAAATCATGATGAACTCAAAATCAGCAAAATTTCAAATAGGTGGGTCACCTATTTCGGACCTGTGCCCCTTTCCAATCATGCTTTATGAGCTTCTCGCAATGTGGAACCCTGAAATCTTCGTGTGGGGTGCCCATTTTGGACGGCTTTCGGATGACGGCATGGAGGTCTGTGGCACCTGCTGGTTCAAGTATTCAGAGAAGGACTGTTGCGTCTCAACGGTCCTGAGTTCCATCCGGAAAAGTCAAGCAAAAATCACACTGTTCCGGTTTCTCGGTTTGCAGCACTGCACGACTTACTAAGTGGCGAAAATCGTGATGGTAGAAACCAACCTTGATTGTGGATCAAAGAAGCCAGACATTTCTATTCAAATATCCAACGAATATTTCAGACCAGGATTGCCCTTCAGATCCTTACCTATCACTGAGCTAAACACAGCTGGCTGCCAATCCCAGAGCCAAAGGCCTCCACCTAACAGCCATAGATCTGGGAAATCTGCGATATCTGGAATATCAGCCCATTTTCTTATATACCCCTAAAAAGAACTCAACTCAGATACCCCCCCGAAAAAAAACGGGTGAAAAACATGCGGTCAAAAAATATAGGGTGAAGCCGGTGAAGCATTCCAATCCGTTTTTACGTAGCAATCAAAAGATATAGCAGCTAGGGATGGGTCAACCATTTAGGGGTTACACCAAAGACTGCCTCCTCGGTGACGAGGTTGCACAACCGCTCGGTGAGTTCACTTGCTGCCTCGTACCGGCCGGGGGCCTGATGGAAAGGGACTCAATCGCTGATGAGATAAGTAACGAAAACATAGCGTCCGTAGATATGATAAATATATATATATGTGTGTATACACCTAACATATGCACAAATCATGAACATCACTGAACATCTTGCTCAAGTCATCTATATTATATGGATATATGTGGGCGTATATGCATATATGTCTATATATATATATTATAAGTTATATAAGAGATACCTGACCTAAAATAAAGAGTACATAGAGTACATAGAGTACATTGCTATGTATATTTGTCTCATTCTATTCAACCTAATATGATTTTGGAAGGTCACGTGCCAAGAAGCGGCTTTGTTTTCTGCCAGGTCCAATTTTCTCTGACGGCTCTAGGTCCCATGCAGTTTGGACATCTTTGGCAGCCTGTCGTGGCCAAACATACCATGCAGTGGTGCCCCCAAGGTAGAAATTGATACTTTGAGATATCGTATTATATATATATATACACACATATATCTTCTATAATTCTATAAGTTGGTTTATAACCCCCCATTAAATGGGGCCCATGGGGATAGGGTAGGTATTATGGTACATCATGATCAACCATAAACTTGCCATAAACCCTAGCTACGCTGAAGACAAGGTCCGAAGAGGGTCAGCTTTCGATGCTGCAACTTGAATTTGTCGAAGAACTGGAAGACCTAAATCCACCAGTGTTGCAGTGTTGGACATCTACCCTCTGGTAATTTAACATAGCTATTTAAATGACCATTTATAGTGGATTTTTCCATTAAGCATGGTGATTTTCCATAGTATTGTTAGTTTACCAGAGGGTATTTCGATAAATGAGGTACCAGAGCTTTACCCACAGCCCTGGATCCTTGGCGGCCCGCATTTCATGACATCGCTTCTGGGCCTGGGCATGGCAACCATGGAACCGACATGAGATGTGTCGCCGATGCTTTAAATAGTCATTGGTTGGGGATTCGCAGAGTGGATTGCAAGATCAACGAACTGGCCTTTTGAAACTGCTCACGCATGCTCACGTGTTTTTTTCGGGAAGTTCTGTTGGCTGGCACCGAGCAGCCAGAGCCTCCCCATTTCTGACATCTCCAAATGCAACCAAGGGAACAGGCACTGCAAGCAGCAGATCCCCCTCCACTGCCAGCCAAACGCGACAAAGGCAAACTGAGCCGGGTTCACGAACAAGGTGACATGGAAAGGGATGTAAACTCAAAAAGGTTATGTTTGATTTCAAACAAGAGTTGCAAATGGTGATCAATAAGAGGACATTGAAGCACGGCTGTTTTCATATGTTTTCGGTGGCATGAACAACTCAGGGGTAGTCGGCACAACCAGTAGAAATCATGGAAATGCAATTCAAACAACAAAAACGGGATATATGATCCATGCTGAGATACCTCCGGCGCTGGTTGCTCGCTTGTCATGAAGTGACTTAACCTACCACGACCACGACCCCCAGAAAAGCTGCCGGAAGGCCCAGTTTTTTGAAGCGACTGCAGCAGTCAGGAGGTCCAATTTGTGCACAGCTGCCGACTGTGCATCCCCAATTGCTGAAGTATGCTGCGAGTTGTCTGAAAATAAGGTACCCAAATAAATCCACTGGCTCGTCATTTTCCCGATGAAAATTGTCAGTTGGGGGCATATCCTATTCTCAGACAGACCCAAGTTGAGCTAGCCGAACATGTCAAAGCCATCATCCACCGGTTTGGCCGCTTTCGCTACTGCCACCCCTGCATCCTTCTTTTCGGCCCTCTTAGCCAAGAGCCTCTGAGGGTGGGGAAATGCCGTGAGCATTGGGACTCAGTTTCCAATGGTCTGTCCCCAATGGGCCAAGAAGTACAATCCCAATCCCACCCATGAGCAGCTTCCAACCAGTTTCACATCATCTCAAAATGATCCAAATCCATTTGGTCCTCCCAAAATAATCATAAATAAATCCGAAATCAGCCATTTCCAAAAAAAAACTTCAGCAGACTCCATTCCAAAAAACACTCGCCAACAACACAACAGATATTATATGTATATATATATGTATGTGTGTGTGTTATACATATAAAAAATAGACATATACTTATATTCTTATTTATTGATCTATCTATTTGTATGTATGTATGTCTGTCTGTCTGTCTGTCTCTGTCTCTGTTTCTGTCTCTGTCTCTGTCTCTGTCTCTGTCTGTCTATGTCTGTCTATGTCTGTCTATGTCTGTCTATGTCTGTCTGTCTATGTCTGTCTGTCTATGTATGTCCGTCTATGTATGTATCTATGTATGTATCTATGTATGTATCTATGTATGTATCTATGTATGTATCTATGTATGTCTATGTATGTATCTATGTATGTCTATGTATGTCTATGTATGTCTATGTATGTCTATGTATGTCTATGTATGTCTATGTATGTCTATGTATGTCTATGTATGTATGTAAGTATGTATGTATGTAAGTATGTATGTATGTATGTAGGTACGTATGTAGGTACGTACGTACGTACGTCTGTCTGTCTGTCTATGTATGTATGTCTATGTATCTATCTATCTATCTATCTATGTATGTATGTATGTATGTCTGTGTGTGTATGTATGTATGTATGTATGTATGTATGTATCTATGTATGTATCTATGTATGTATCTATGTATGTATCTATGTATGTCTATGTATGTCTATGTATGTCTATGTATGTCTATGTATGTCTATGTATGTCTATGTATGTCTATGTATGTCTATGTATGTCTATGTATGTCTATGTATGTATGTATGTATGTAATGTATTGTATTGTATTGTATTGTAATGTATGTATGTATGTATGTGTGTCTGTATGTGTGTCTGTATGAGTGTCTGTATGTGTGTCTGTATGTGTGTCTGTATGTGTGTCTGTATGTGTGTCTGTATGTGTGTCTGTATGTATGTATGTCTGTCTGTCTTTATGTATGTATGTATGAATGTATGTATGTATGAATGTATGAATGTGTGAATGAATGAATGAATGAATGAATGAATGTATGTATGTATGTATGTATGTATGTATGTATGTCTGTCTGTGTGTATGTATGTACGTATGAATGAATGTATAAATGTATGAATGTATGAATGTATGAATGTATGTATGTATGAATGAATGTATCTGGTCTGGTCTGGTCTGGTCTGGTCTGTATGTATGAATGTGTGAATGTGTGAATGTGTGAATGTGTGAATGTATGTGTGTGTGTGTATGTATGTCTCTCTGTATGTCTGTCTGTCTGTATGTATGTATGAATGTATGAATGTATGAAATGTATAAATGTATGTATGTATGTATGTATGTGTGTGTATGTATGTATGTATGTACGTACGTACGTACGTATGTATGTATGTATGTGTGTGTGTATGTATGTATGTAATGTATGTATGTATGTGTGTCTGTATGTGTGTCTGTATGAGTGTCTGTATGTGTGTCTGTATGTGTGTCTGTATGTGTGTCTGTATGTGTGTCTGTATGTGTGTCTGTATGTGTGTCTGTATGTATGTATGTCTGTCTGTCTTTATGTATGTATGTATGAATGTATGTATGAATGTATGAATGTGTGAATGAATGAATGAATGAATGAATGAATGAATGAATGAATGAATGTATGTATGTATGTATGTCTGTGTGTATGTATGTATGTATGTATGAATGAATGTATAAATGTATGAATGTATGAATGTATGAATGTATGTATGTATGAATGAATGTATCTGGTCTGGTCTGGTCTGGTCTGGTCTGGTCTGGTCTGGTCTGTATGTATGAATGTGTGAATGTGTGAATGTATGTGTGTGTATGTATGTCTGTCTGTATGTCTGTCTGTATGTATGTATGAATGTATGAATGTATGAAATGTATAAATGTATGAAATGTATAAATGTATAAATGTATGTATGTATGTATGTATGTATGTATGTATGTATGTGTGTGTGCGTGATTATGACTACTCATATATATATATATATATATTCATTTGTGTTGGTATATACTGAATACAAATGGTCATATATAATTATACATATATATATATATAACACATCCTTTTGAAGTCCCAACTCAAGGCCCGCAATGCCTCTGCAGGGGCTTCTCTTGCCACCAGCATTGCACCGCCAGACACGCCAAGGAGTCGCGATCAGGGCCCTGCGCCTGGGCCGTTCGCACCACGGCCTTGCTGGCGGCCTCCCAGCCATCCAGACCTTGCGCTGGGCTGCCCCAGGCGTCCAAGGCCACGTTCAGCACATCCTCATAGCAGTGGTAGCAGACGGTTACCAGTGATATGTTTTTCCCAATGAAAACTGTAACGGATGTATCAAACCTAACAGTTTGTTATGGAAAATGAACCATGCGCATAAATAAATGATTTACCTCAATTTACCTGCCCAAAAATGGTGGTTGTACACTGCAACCTGTTTTTGTTGCCGGAGGATAAATCAACTAGATCCACTAGGGAGCTTTGTTACCGGTTTCCAGCTCCAGCTACATCCCAGATCCCACCATTTTTGGCCCCCGGTCCTGGTCTTTCAGAACCGACGCGACCTCGGCTGAAAACACCAACAAGAAGGGCTCCTCACCTGCCACACAGCGCCATTCCTTGACCTTTTTCACCGTGGCTTGACCCTGCACAGGCGATTTCCCGGTCTTGAAAGGCCTACCACCAATCAATCGGGACGCCGGCATTCGAAAGATCTGGCTGGGTTTCAGCTGGCCCACTTCTGCAAATGAAACCTCCACTTTGCCAGACTCAGTGACATTGAAACCCAAATCCTTCAAGGCTGCACTGACCTTCTGGGTTCCATGTGGTTCCAAGGCCCTGACAGGGTTTCCTTCATGGCTACAGAGCACCACCACCGAGGCCCCGCAAGATGCGACCCACAACTGCACGCAGGGTTGACCAGATGCGTTGAGGGCATGGACAAACAGCACGGCAGTGACTTCTGCACCATCCTGGTTGGTGATGTTTTTGCATAGAATTACACTTGACAAAAGTGGTTCTTTTGGTCAACTGGCTGTTGAAAAAAGGAGCGTAAAGAACCAAGGTGACATCGGCATCCATCAGCCATTATCAATGGGTTATGTTAGCTGTAACTTAAGTTTCTCTTTTCCAAAAAACGCAAAGATGCGGGTGTGTCTGAACATTGGAGGTATACCATGGTATGCCGGCCATTTCATGTGAAAATGATATAAAATGATGTGTTCAAACAAAGCTATTTGTTCAAAAATGCCTTCCAAAAGCATTGCGAAAAAGTGTCGGTCAGACTCTTCATCTTCGCTCGCTCCATAAACTCCGTCTCCAAGACTTCGAAGGCCCCCTTCAGAGCCTCTTCGGCATCGGGCTTTTCCTGGCGAGTTCACACAGTAACGCTTCCCTTTCGTTCAGGTGGAAATGGAAATTGAATGAAATTGATGGGAGCCCTCTGTTCATATAAACCAACCAGTGGGAAGTGTGGACATATGTGGACATCTATGAAGTTATGAAGTGAACCCCCCAGTTCCATGCAGTCCTCATAAGCTTTGGCGATGAACTTGGGCAGTTTCTCCTTGGCATAGGTGGCCGCCTCATTGCCCTTTCCGGAGCTCGACGCGCAGCCGTGCGCCATCACAAAGACTTTGCCCAACTGCGGGACTGTCTCACCCAGGGCAAAAGCATCTTGATTGGCCACGGTAGCTGGAAGTGACTCGCCATAGCCTTTCACAGCATACTGCGGGATTTCAAAGAAATTCCGCCACTGCTCTTTCAACTGCTGTCTTCGCTTCTTGGCCATGGTGGAATCAGATTGTTCCGGTTTTTCCTGAGAAATTTGAGTTCCATCTGGATTCCTCACGTCCTCTGCCCAGGGTTTTCCTCGATTCTCACCGCGCAGGAAGGACACCTTCTGATCCTTGACCAGCATTCGGAAGCCCGGTGACACGATCTGAGACTGGTGAACAAAAATTTTCTCTGAATCTGCATCCAGTAAGAAGCCAAAACCTTTGGCCTTGTCATAGTCCAAAACCGTCCCGATCTCCCGTCCACGTGTCTGCTTCTGCTTCTCCACGACTTTGTCGACTGCGGTCGCAGCCTCAAACTGACGCTTCAGCGCTGGGTTCATGGCGCCAGGCTCGGTCTGCCAGAGATGCCCTAGAAAGAGAAAAACTGTCGTACCTTCATTGCAGAACAATCTTGGCCTTCAGGGTCTTGTTATGCAATTTTGGCATTCTGAATCTCCAAGGCCAGAACCAAAACGCTTAAAGAATTGAAATGCTGTGCCGTGTCTCCTGAGAAAACAAATGAACTGAAACATTGAAACATTTTCTCCAACGGTGTGGACATAACAAGAAGCGGCCGCGGAAACATTAATTAAGTCCCATGTCTTCAACTTCCGATCAGTCCATGAAATGCCATCACTGCCAAAATTTAACGACGGAACATTGCACCCCCCTCCCCCCCCGCCCCCATGAGTTTCGCAAATGCTGTAGTGACTAGAGAGTGTCCATGCTACACATGCAACAACTCAAGAAGTGGTACCCTCAAAGATTTGATGCAGTCTCTGACCGTCTGAGGGCTCTCTTTTTGACTTTGAAATCATTGGCTTAAAGCAGTTGGTTTGTTGGATCTCCGGAAATCTCAGGGCAAAGGTGGCGGAACTGTTGCTGTGGCCGCGGATGCCGAGAGTGATGGTTCTGGCTTTCAGATCCCTTGGAGTTCTCCATCTTCCCATTCACCTTCCTGGGCCATGCCATGTGCATCAACGACACGGCCGGGACCATGTAGCTTTCCATTTTGGAACGTCCCTTCAATCACGGTACCATCAGGTCTCACTTCTCTTCCTGAGCCTTCTGGCATGCCATTCACCACCTGTCCCTCGTAGTGACTGCCATTCTTCAACAACCCCTTGCCCGTGCAGTTCCAGAGAAAGCCGTCTTGGATCTCTCCATCAAAGCCACGGCCGCTATAGGGGTCGAAGACTTTCCCGTTCCCGGTGTCCGGTCGGCTCTCCCGCCACTTTCCTTCGAAGGTGACGCTTGGATCGCTGATGCCAGGGAGAACACCACTGGGATTGTAGCGGAGGATGGTGGGTCCACCCCCATAAATCTGCAGAAAGAATTCCCACATGGCCTGCTCTAGAATTTGATAGTCATGCTGAATACCCTCCTGGAGAGTTGCTCTTAAGGTGCCATCAATCTCAAACAAATCACTGTTGATGATGGGAGCAGGTGGCCGGTCTTTAGTCTCTGCCGTAGGTTTTCCAACCCCAACAAAACTCCGCCAACTTCTCAACCATTTGGAACTGATGATGTATCCAAACTTCCCTGGCATCCACCAGAGTTGTGGCATTCTCTGCGCCAAGGCTGCTTCAATCTCCTCAACTTTGGCCAATTCCTCCGTCCGGCGCATGTGTAGGAAGGCCCGCTGTTCGCTGGGCGTCATGCTGGTAGACACAATGCGCCACTTGTCCAGCTGAAGCCGGAGGTTGGGCGCTGGTTCCAGCACGCAGCGCCGCGAATGTTCCGCGACATCTTCCGCCTTGACCCGCTCCCCACAGACGCAGCACTTGATGCGGCTGTACTCCTCGATTTCGGCAGCCGTCAAGGCAGGACAGGCATCGGCTTCAGCATCTTCTCCCATCACCAGGGTCGGTGGATCCCACTGGATCAGCCCGATGAAGGTCTCAGCTGAAAGGCAACAGGTGACATGATGTCAGCGGCCGGCATGACGACCTTCACTCGAGCACTTGAGCTGCGAAAGAAACATCATGCTCTGTGCCAGCTGAGAAGTGCATGAGATATCAGGAGATATAGAAGTATGCTAACTCAGAAAAACGCTATTCAACACTCACTCCAAGCCAAGAATGTGTAAGGTAAAGCTTCGTGCCGGCCAAAACAGAATTGTTTGAAGCCAAATTAGTGCCGTGCGCAGCAAGCCCATTTTGTGAGAACTACACGCTCTTCTTGGAGTCTTTGGGTCAAACTACTTGGCAATCCTCCGCTCCCAGGCCGCTCGCGTCATGATAAAGTCTAAACCTCAGCGGCACTGACAATGGATCCAGATGGATCCAGAATTCCAGAAGCAATTCTTCAATGGGCGCAAAACTAGGACCGCTTTGCAGTTCCAAGTGCCCAGCCGGACCAGTTGACCAGCAGTGATACCTGGATGTATAGCAAGGTGTGCATAAGGCTCAGGTGGCCAGCATCATGTGCAACCAAGGAGCTGCCACACTTGACATCAGATATGGATACCTCTCAGAAGCCGTGGCAGATTTCCACTGGTTTCAGCTCATTTCAGCTGGTTTCAGCGTAAAATCATTAAAAATGCCCAGTTGAAGCCAGGGAGCATAAATTTTTCCACCATGTTTCTGCGCCAGTGGATGTTCAATGGCAGGGAATGGCTCCTTGGCAAATGCCACCCGGCATCGCTGAGAGCGCGTGGAGCTGTGATTCAATGGCTAATGATATGTGGTAATCATCTACAAATGGGAAATGTTTCATTGCCGTGCTTGTTTTCTATGGGTTCGGGGAAAGGGCTTGTGGATTTGAAGGGCCCCACTGTGATTTGGTCCCATTCCGGCGCTACCGTTCGTCCAAGGTGCTATCCAACCAAATGACCCCTTGAACTCCAGAACAGTCCTTGGTAGCAAAAGCAGTAGAACTCACAACAAGAACGAGAGCAGTCAACTGATGGGTATGGATCCGGAATTATATGTAGCACCCAAAATCCCTCCCATTGCAATCCAGTCTTCATTCGGGATGCTGGAGAAACAGTCTGAAGATTCCAACCAGCTTCTACTGATCAAAATCTATAGTAGTTTCTCAAACCTGGCCATTGCAACTGCCTGTTCGTGATGAAGCTTTGATCAAACTTGGAATGGTAAATTTTCCTGCCAGCCAGCCTTGACAACAAACAAAATCTTTACTGCTGCAGGGCTTCCCATGATACGTCTCCGTGCCAACTTTGGTTCTTGCCAACAGCCCCGAGGGCTGACTCGGTGTGGCTTCGGGGGGAGATCCAACCCGTGGAGGTACCACTTGCGGTCGCACACCTGGCTGGCTTCAGCGCAGGGAAAAACCACTTCGAAGACCACTTTGATTATTGCTTCTATCCTCTGGTAAACTAACACAGCTATTGAAAATTGCAATTTAGAGTTGATTTACCTACTAAAGGTTGTGATTTTCCATAGTTATGTTAGTTTATCAGAATCAGAGGGTAGTGACGGCGATGATGATGCACCATCCATGACTGTCGTGATGAAGTTGATGATTGATGACGGTCGTCGTCGTCGTCGTCGTCATCAGCATCATCATCATCATCATCATCATCATCAGATACATGTTCATTTTGGCTTCGCCTGGTGGACGGGAGGGAGCCGATTGACCGGCCCCAGGCGGAGTACCGCCGCAGCCGCAGCCGCCGCACGCGCTGCCCATGCTGCCGCTTCCAGGCCCTCCGCATCCCTCGTCGTAGCCGTAGCCATCCCAGCCATCATAGCCGTAGCCATCCCAGTCGGAACCCATCCAGGAGCTCATGCTCCCCATGGGCATGGTCGAAACCATCTGCTGGAACATCCTTGAAAAGACCAGCAAAAAATGGAAAACAAATTGTTTCAAATTGGGGGGGAGGCGGGGAGAGGCAGGGAGAGGGGGAGGGGAAAATTTAGGGAGGTTCGGTATGGTTCAGCCACCGCTGAGATTCCAGGAATGCTTTTATTCTTTCGATTGCTGAATCATCAGTCAAGCCAAGAAAAATGAAGAAAAATTGAAAAAATGAACCTGGCATTCCGGACGATGCTGGGATTTTTCTAAGGTCACACTTTCTTTCCACTTGTGATCAGAACATTGGAGGAGGGTTCATGAAGCGGGCTTGGCTTTCTGCTACCTCTTCGCTGCAAGTCTTCTGTACAAAGCGCCGATCCAAAAGCGATTTAATGACTATAAAATGTTATAAGTCGCTCTTATTTGTTTGCATCTCTAGCCTCCATGCCCCCCAGGGTCAGCGCAGTGACAAGTCACATCTGCTGCTGTTTCATCATCTCGTGCATGTGGTCCTCCTCCTCCTTCTTTCGCTTCTCCACTTCTTGCTTATGCTTCTCCTGATAGCTGAATGACCGGGAGGCAGGGCCCAGCAGGGAGGAGCAATGAGAAACTTACCGACAACAAGAAACATCTCATTGTGTCCTTATCAATGCTTCGCTTTGCCCATCCTAAGACAGCAGTCAAGGGCTGTTGAATGACACCAAAGTGGTCGCCACTGAGTTCTCTGCCCATATGCGTCTTCGGCATTGTGGCTGCACAACCCTACGGACGGGGAAAAACAACATACGCGCGGCGGGCCTGAAGGACGTGGAGACTGCAGGCGTTGCGGGAACTTGTGCAGCCACAATCCACAGCCCAACTACCAGGCACAGTCCGTCACAAGTCCGGGTTTCAACAGTGGGGTATGTAAGCAGTTGAGAGCATCACGCATTTTTTTCCGATGGAGATCTTTTTCGGAGTTCAGCTATTTGTCAAGGTCAAAGTGCAACAAGCGTGTATGAATTTATGAATATGTCCAGCTTCAAGTGTCTCTCAGTACGACTCCAGCTTAGAAGCACCGCAAGAGCCTCACCAAAAACTACCAGGTGTCACAGATTTGCTCCGCATTGGTAGGCTCCCAAGGTCTGAGTTCATGACCACCAAAGGCTCAACACCATAGATACTTTGGCCTCGAGACTGCAAGGTTTCAGAAAAGCTGGATCGTGGGAATGGCTAGCTGGATATTTACCGCAGGTTTCCCATCGTAAATTTGCATACATGTGTCCCAATCAGTCAAGAACATCTCCACCATTAGATAAATAGATAGAGAGAGAGAGAGGTATATATATAGATATACTGATGTATACAATATATCAGTATATATATATATATATAGTGATATATTGATACAATGATATAATGAGATATAGATAGATATAGATAGATATAGATGGCTATAGATGGATATAGATGGATATAGACACACACATATATATATGGCATAGCATATAGGCTAGGTATACATAGCCATAGATATACATCGATATAGATGGATATAGATGGATATGGATATAGATGGATATGGATGGATATACTATGATATACTATAGGTAGTGTTATACATCAACAATCAAAAACATTGTACATAAATGTACATAATATATTATGTAATATTGTGATATATTGTGTGTGTTGTGTGAGTGTGCACCGAGTAATATCTCATCAAATTGGAAGGTCCTGACACCGCTGCCGAGCTGCCAGGTCGGCATGTCCTTTCTCCACAAGAGAGGACGGCTTGAAGCCATGTGACGAAGCGATTTCGGTCTGCTGGATGACATTGTGTTGTGCTTGCCTTGGCTCATCGGATCACATAAGTGAGATCACTGAAATATTCTGAAATCATCAAAGTCTCAGTAGCCAAAAAAGATCATCAACCGATCTCAACATATCTCATCAAAATATACTTTTTCAACGTTGAAAATATTCAAAACCCCAACGAAAACACAGTGGTCCGTCATCCGCTTCGCACCAAGCCGCACCACCGGCAGCAAGCGTTCGGCATCCCGCAGGCCCTGCCTGACGTGTCTAGACTCTCTGATAGGTGTCCCCGGGTGTCCCCGGGTGTCCCCGGGAGTCCCCGGGTGTCCCCGGGTGTTCCCGGGTGTCCCCGGGTGTCCCCGGGTGTTCCCGGGTGTCCCCGGGTGTCCCCGGGTGTCCCCGGGTGTCCCCGGGTGTCCCGATCCAAGTTCCAAAACCAAAAACTCACTGAATCCAATTTGGATAATCCAATGGGATATGGGATTGGTTACCCCAAAAAGTTTGCCCTAAGCTTTCTTGTTAGCAGGATCCCATTTTGATTAGCTAAGTTTAAGTCGCTGTGAAGGTCTGCCAAAATATTCTATAACCCAACCAAACAACACGACAAGACCACTGCCAAAATCATCCAACTCTGGAAATCCGCATTAGCCTCACCTTGATGTTGGGTGCGAGGCCATCTCAGAGACGCTTTCATCTAAACGAGCTGCTTGAGACCTCGGGTCATATAGGTCATGCTTTTCTTTGCAATGTCTGTTGCCGAAGGTTGTGCCGTTCCATGGCGAGATCATCACAATCCTCGGATTTCAACATCACCAAGGTCCAAAAAAGCGATCTGAGCATCCCACAATGAAGATGCCACGCGAGAAAAGGAGCGCAACAAATAAGCATGCAAACCCATTGCTCCTGGTCGAAAGGTAGCAACCCGAAAAAGATGTTCTTGGTCGAAAATGATCGAAATCACCTCTTGCCGGAGGGAACATCCCCAAGTGAACCAGGGAACACCGGATCCGTTTTGGGGTGCCAGTCCCTTTCATCGCCAGTGAGATATGATCTGAACTAAGAATGTTTGAAAGCCGAGGTGCCGCTTCGGATGCCATTGTGCCGGGCTTGGAACAAAGCGGCCTGGCCCAACGTCAAACTCTCAAGAAAATGCACATCCCTGGGTCCCTTGGTCCTACAAGGATAGCACTGAAAGCTGAGATTTTGCTTTGCTTTGGCATACACGTGGAAATCCCCAGAGGCCCATCGATCTACCAGCCAAATATGGTGCTGTCAATGTGATGTCCTGTAAATTTCCATAAACACCAGTTGGGCGAGTCGGGACTAGACTAGACAGCCTGTCTTTTCAAGCCTGCTGGTTCATCAAGGAGAGATCCTTGTTCACGGCCCTTGCCCTCCTGCCAAGCTACTGGAGATAAACCGTGGCAAGTGCTCCTAGTTTACTAATGTTTACTGATGCTTATCGATGTTTGCCGTCTGCCTTTGGAACCGCTCTGACCCAGCCTTCCATTTGTGGAGGACATGTTTTTCAGGACTTCTTTGTAGTAATCCTGATTGCAGTGCGGAACACCCCTCCTCAAAAAAAGACTTCCTGTATCTTCCTGTATATGCATAAAGCAGTTTGGAGCAATTGTTTGGGATTCAGCCAGGACTCCAAGATATTGTTCCAAACCTTGGTCTCTGCAGGTGGGTCCCCAACCGGACCCTCAGGACCAGGAATGCCTGGCAGTGTGCAGCATTGGCCGGCATACTTCCAGAATCTTGAGTCCTGCTGTCTTTCAAAATGGAACTCCGTTGGGGTCCAAAATCATTGGTTTACCTCCGTAGAAAGGTAGATCCTGAAACATGTGAGAGTATGCGGTATGCGGTATGCGATAGTTTTGTCTTTGGAGGATCTCTACACCTCCTCTATGTTGGCTGAACACGCTCCACAAAGCTCCACAACGAATCTCCCGGCCTCGTTGCCCTGGATTTCCATGCGGCCCAGTGGGGCCATGTGGACCATCTGGTCCCAGCTCTCCAGGTGGTCCCCGGGCTGCAGCTCCGGGGGGACCTTGGGGACCTGTAGGGCCTGCTGGACCGGTGGGCCCGCGAGCTCCCATAGGGCCAGGTTCACCATAGATACTGCTGACCAAAGCTCCAGGAGGACCCACCACAGGCTTGATGGATTTGTTCTGCGCGATGATGCTGCTCAAATTGTCCTTTGGAATGAAACCCACGTGCTCTTCACCTGCCGTCTGCGTCAGATCTTTGATAGCTTGAATGGCTGCCGACACCTGGTCGGGCGAGTACAAGACATCCTCCGCAGGAGTTGGAGGTCTGGTGGTCGTTTCTGGCATGGCATACAGTTTGGAGGCAGTTTGAAAGGCAACAACTGCCGCTTGACGCACCAAGTTCTGCAGTTCAGTGATGCTCTTGCCTGCAGCCGAAGCATGCTCAGCTGCGGCCACTGCAGCAGCTCGAGCAGAGGCTGTCGCAATTTCCTCCGTTGAAAGACCACTGCTGTTGGCAAACTCCGCAGCTGCAGCTGCAGCTGTGGCTGCTGTGCCAGCAATATCTGCATCATCAGACACCATGCTGGACGCAGCCCGCCCAGCTGCTGAGGCTCCAGCCCCAATGGCTTGCTGCTGTTGCATGCCATGCTTCATGGCAGCAGCTGTTGCGGCATGTGCAGCCGCCACAGTCAGGTTTGACAACTCGTTCATCAGGCTCACAGCCAGCCCGGCACTCTCGGCCGCCAGGTTGGCAGCCATCAGCTCTTGCAAACCAGCAGATGACGCAGACTCAAAGGCTGCATCCCCTGCTGCCATGGACACTTCGTCCAAAGCCTTTGCAGCGGATTTCGCTTCTTCTGCTGCGGTTCTCCCCGCTGCCAGCGCTGCTGCTTTCTTTTGTGACAGGGACGGGTCGGCTGCATCAGTGGCAGCTGTGTCTACTCTGGAAGAATCCGTCACTCGGTTGAGTTCCGCCATTTTCTCCAAGAAAATCTGATGCATCTTGGGCGTTTTGCTAGTCTTCCTGTGACGTATCCTGGCCCAACTGTGGTGGGACCTGTGCTGGGGATGTCTGTGCTCCTTGAAAATTGCCTCCGCTAGAGCTTGGACCTGCGCGAGCTCACTTGAAAGTTCTTCTGTTTGAACATGACCCAGGATTTCACAATTTGCAACGGCAATCGGTTCAAGTGAGGCTTGAAATTTACAGTATGTTCAAAATCAGGCAGCCAACCCCTTCTCAACAAAGTGATCCTCGCCTCCTCGAGCTTGTGCGGGGCATGCCTGCAGAAAGAGCGCAGCTTACCCACGTTCCAACTCGGTAAATAGCGTTGCTTGTGTTCTGACATTAGCCTTAAGTTTTCAATCCTGGACTGCAGGCATTAATTAATCTAATATGATTTAATTATATATGTTTTATGTAAATATCACAATATGCATATATGCCACATGATATACAATATATATTCGCACGCTGTGTCCCAGGTATTTATATACTTGGTAACATTTCTTAAGCATTGGCAGTCAATTTTCCTGCAGTGCTGCAGTTCTGGTGGCCTGTGGGTGGACGTGATGCCGCCTCGGACGCGTGCAGTTGCTTACACGCAAAAGAGAATGATTTGCGAAATGAAAATTGAAATTGGCCCCAAAAAAAAAAGTGCTCGGAAGTCGAAAGCGGAAATTCGGTTGCACCATAAAGCACCCGAAATCTGCATGTCTGCGGAATACTCAGCCAAAGAGCCGTCATGGTGCACGTGAACTCGCGCATCGTGAGGGACTGCTAGCACCTCACCAAGGACAGTGTTGCACGATTTGCCATCCGGTAAGAAATATACACATACGCGTGTGCGTCGTGTTTATATGTATATACATATACATAAAAGAGATATAATGTCATAAATACACGCCACAAAGAGATCTATATTTGTATAATTATATTATTGTTGCATTATATTATATATACATATACGTGCGGAGTGCAAGGGTAGCAAATTGGGCTCAGAGTAAAAGGGGCAAAAGCAGCTATTTTCGCTAGAGCAGCGCTTGAGTCAAGCTGCGGTGAAAAGCGGCTAAAATGCAAAAAGTGAAAATGCAAACTGCCGCACACCAAGCTTACACCTACCAACACATGGTTTTCACATTGCAAGGAAAGTGTGTTGGTGTGCTGGCAGATTAATTAACCGGCGCAGCCGGTGTGGGGGCGCAGCCCTTCTTCATTTTGGCCTTTCGGCGCTGCCTTTGGCCCTGACGCAGCTTGCGTCGATGGTCCTCCAGTGCCTTCTCCTCCGGCGTTTCACGCAGGGAGATGCGTGGCACTTGACAGAAACTCTGCCACAGGAGGCAAACCATCTTTTTGGTCAGGCAGTCTGCAAACTGCCTATGCGTAGGTACCCAGAAAAGCTCGTAGGCACCACTCTCCAAATGATGTCGCGACACCATCAAATCAAGCATTGTTTGCCGCTCTGTCGGCAACTGGCCCGTCGTGGAGAGGTGGTCGTACAAACTCTTGGCGTCCGTCACAACGCCACCGTCCAGGCCCATTGAAGTACGCCAGTTGGCATCCAGAGGTCGATTTCCAAAAAGGAGTCGGTCAATGACCAGACGCCCATATAGGTGTCGGTCAACACATCCACTCATAGAGCAGCTTTCCGCTGACATAGAGCTGCGTAGCACCCGACCACTTTTGTTCGTTGAGAACTCGATCACTGAAGCTGGCGCTGGCCCTTTTCGAGCTTGCTCTGTTGTAAGAAAGTGGACGGTTCCAAGCTGTGATTTGCCGTCCTGTTCTTTTCCAACCGAAGCATCGAAGTAGCTGACGTAGAAGAGCTTGTCCTTCTCGTTGAGCTTGGGGTATAAAAGTCGGGCGCGGCCCTTTTCAACTTCATCCAAAAACTGACCGTGAAGTTTAACCGCTTCACGATAGTCAGCATACGTAGCTTTGTTGACCCTTTGTGCGAGGTTGGACACCTGGTACAGGAGATGTGGTAACACCTGTTGTGCCGGCCAGCGCAAACGCATGACCAATTGGCGGTACAATGTCACCTCGCGTGGTCCCAGCTCTCCATTTCCTTGCAAAGGTTCGATTCGAATCTGTTTGATGTACTGGGACATGTCGTCACAGATGCCGCGGGCATCTTGGGTCACATCCACACCCAAAAATTGGAGTGGGGTGTCCGCAGACAATTCCTTCCAGGCTTTTATGGTGAACATACCATTGATTTGTTCTTTGAGTCGTTGGACCCTGCGGTCGTTCAAGTCACCCAATAAAAGCCCGTCATCAACATGGAGACAAAGTATGGCGTAGCTACGCCCATCTTGGCCGCTGGCCACAAAACAGGATTTGCAGATCTCAAGCTCCTGGAGGTCTGTTTTCTTCATACGATCAAGGGCCTCCAGGTACCACAATCGTGGGCTTTCTGTCAATCCGTACGCGGACTTGAGGATCTGCAAAAGCTCACCTGGTTGAATTGGTGGCCACTTCTCCACAGAGGGTAATCCCTCACGAGGTGCCCTGATGTAGACCTTCCTCTGTAGATTCTTGCCACTCAAAAATGCGGTGGTGACATCAAATGTTGTGCCACCCCAATTCCGTGCGGATGCAACCGCTTTTGCTGCCCGAACTGTAGCCTGCGGGCACGTAGGGCTATCAGTCCTGAACTCGCCGAGTTGTGGGTCCAGGTGTCCTGGGACGATCAACCTGGATTTGGCGACCAACGGCAGCAGCCGGTTTGATTGCTTGTTTGTGCGAAGCATCCGCAATGGTGCACGGAATACATTGGCTCGCGGGATCTTCTCTGCCTCCTCCGGTGCCACGCGCTGCACAACACCATTCTTAATCCATTCCGACCACTCCTTCTTGTCAGAGATGTCAAAGGCAGCCTGCTCCTTCTCATCGAAAAAGGTGGGATCCAACTCTTTCCCACATTTCTTGAGTTTGAGGATCAAGGCCTCCGATGTGAGCAGGCCTTTGATCTCCTCAGTCCACAAGGATTCAAACTCCTGGGCTTCATGCGGCTTGAAATCCGCCTTGTAAAGACCATCAGGGAGCTGAATGTAGACCGGCTCGGTCTCTCCTTCCTTGTGCGTCTTGTAGAAAATGGTCATTCCTTTCCAGTAAAAACTGGCACGGCGCCTGGGATTGTGGCGCACTTCTTCTTCAGTCTCATTCACGATGAAGGTGTCCTCGGGATTCTTCCCAATGAGGATGCTCAGCCTGGAACGGCTTATCATCTTCGGGGGTCTCTGAAATCTTTTCCTTGGGCTTCTGTGGATCCTGGCTGCTGTGACTGGAAGTCCTGTCAGCTGTTTCAATAGGTCCACTTCATATCTTGAGACCCATTCATTTTGAAGGGAGCCAAACACAGTGGTCGCGGCCACCTGTGCACAGAAATTGGCCCTCAGCCTCTTAATGGCCTCATCAGCCTGAGCATCGTCGATTCCTTCGTGCCTTCGCTTGAGGGAAAATGGCACGTCATCCAGAGCCAACCTTCTCCTTTCCTCTCCTGGGATCTTCTTGAGAAACTCGGCCTCCCACTCATCATCATCCATGGGTGGCACCGGAACTTCGTGCGGTGCCCTGACTGTGGGAGGCTCGGCCTCAACCGCGGATGGCTCATCCAAACCTTCATCATCCGTATCGATATGTGGCGGCTCGCCATCATTGATTGGTGTTCCAGGTGTGTAGGCCTCTGACATGGCCTCCTCCTCTTCTCCAGCCAGTGGATCGGGTGGAGGTGGTAGAGGCGACACCTCAGGCGCTGCCTGTCCATCTTCGAGAGCCTTGGGCCTCTTTGGTCGAGATACCCTCTTCGGCTCGGGTTGGTCTTCGATCTGCTTCTCCGCCTTTCTCTTCCGGAACTGTCTCATGAGGTTCGAGCGGTCCTGAAGGATCTGGCGGATTGATTTGGTTCCCCGCAGAAGCATGCGGGCTCTTTTCCTTTCTGGCGTATCTGGTTCAGCTTTTCGCTTGACGACCCTTGGAGGTGGTTTCAAGCGCGTTTGGTCCTTGTAGGTCTTCTCCCTGTGAGGGTCGCGCAGCAACTCCCCCAAATCATCTGCGTCCTCCTTCGCAGGCTCACGAAGTGCCAGCTCCTCCTTTGTCGCCAAACGTATGTTGGGCGCTGCCAGAAGGAGGGCGCGGCCTCTCCAGCTTGCAAAGTAGCGCTCTTTGCTTTCTCGCGTGAGAATAGTCGCGGGTCCCCGCCAAAGTCCACCACGTTTGTACCGCTTGTCGGCCTTCTTTGGTGTCCAGAAGTAGATCTGGGTTCCAGGACTGAATGGTCCTTCTCCTTCATGGGCAGGCTTACGCAGGATGGCCCTGCGCAACTTCTCTTGTACGTCCATGCGAATCAATGCCAACCTTGCGCAAATGCGCATGCGATGAGCTCTGGCATATTCCGATTCCGCGTCCAGAGCCTCTGCAAAGGTGGGCTTGGCGGTGTCTTCGGTGAGACTTGGGAACTTGATTTCGGCGCCATAAAGGCGTTGATTTGGAGTAAATCCGTCCTTGGTCACCGTCATGTTCTTGGCGGCAACTGCAGATGAGATCACCAACTTCATGGCGCTGAACCCCTCTGAGTTGTGCTCTGTGGTGATCGCTGTAATCATATTGCCAAGGATGGAAACATGGCGTTCTCCCACAGACAGCTGCCATCCTGCATGAGCACCTGTCACCGTGCTGGGCACTGCCATCTCTTCCAAAAGTTGGATGAATGAGAGCTCGAACTCTCCACCCTGATCATGGGTGATATGTTCAGGAACTCCAAACACCTGAACCCAGTGCCTCAGAAATTTTTGGGCCACATAGTCCGACCGTCGTGTTTTGAGCAGCACTGCCATGTGGTACCTTGTACCCAAATCAACTGCGCTCAAGCATGGGTACTTTCGGCCACGGCTATCAAAAACGAACTTGATGTCGATGTGGATCTTGCGATTGAAACCATACGGCCTCAAAGTGGGAGTTGAAGCCATGGGGTGCTTTGGAGGTTGCTGCTGGCTGCAAACTTCGCAGCGCCATCGCCGAGCATGGCGGATAGCCTCCTCAGTTGCCCCAGAGATGCGCAGCATCCTCACAAGGGTATCCCGGCTCGGGTGACCCAACTGTCGGTGTGCAAACTCGACAGCTTTTTGCACCTCTCGCGGCACAGCTCGCCGCTCATCCTCTTCTGGCTCTGCCAGCTCTTCTGCGATCTGTTCCTCCTCTTCTCGGATTGCATCCATACCATCCTGATAGGATTCTTCCGCCACGTGGTCCTCCAAGACGTAGACCTGCTTGCCATCTGGTCGGTGGATATAGTTGATCACCCCAGTCATGATCGCTCGGCACAGCGGGACTAGATAACCACCTGCCCAAGATGACAGGGAGATGGTGCCATCCTTGGTTCGGACAGAACCTTCGATGGGGAAATGCTCATGATTGCCTGGGCATCTCTTCCTCAACTCGGCCACGATCTCCTCCTGTCCAACGAACCTTGTGGCTTTCTTGAGAGGCATCCGATTTTCTGGATGTTTCAGGCCATACTGGCACTGATCGCAGATCCCTTGCGGGAAATCACCAAAACCATCGATGATTGGGTCTTCTTTCCAAGCCAAGCTTGTGAGCGGGTTTTCTCCCAAGGTGGCGCGGCCACGCTTCTGTCGTTTGAGAGACACCTGTGCAGAGAACTTGAGGAGCTTCCTCGATGTCTCTCTCTTGTGCTGCAATGCTTCGCGCTGCGTCCATGTTTTGCTGTTCAAATTTTGGAGCAGCGACCAGGGCCCGCAGGGCCATGCCAACATGACAAAATCG